CCCCAAAAAAACATCCACAAAGTGCCCCAAACCCAAGATTCCCAAGTGCAAAAATTCCAATGACATGGTTCCCCAATTGTTTTTTTTCGAATGCCTGGAATATGGTTCCTGGATTCATAATTCTTAGGTTGCGAGTTGCGGCAGCCAACTCTGCTCTGCTCCTGCGCCGTCAGGGTGCCTTGCAACTTCTGACCACCCAGGAGCTCTTTCTCGATCTGCTCCCAGCCTGGTGCCATTTTTGATGTTGGGAAAACGCTGATTCATCAAAGGAATGGGTACCCGGTTTTCAGGTGTAAAACCCATTTTTTGGATGCGTGTCAATACTTACAAAGTGGGGCCCCCGTTTACGATAGCTAAGTTGGTGAACATAACTCCAATAACTATGGTTTATGGTACGCAAATAACTATAGTTACTGGGGTTTATAAACCAATTTATAACTAGGGGGCCCCACATTGTACCTGATAAGATAAAACCAGGTTGCAATGCAAGATGGGTTTGTTGGAAAATAGGGTATCGTAAAATTCAGTGGTTTATCCCAAAGACAAATTGCCAAAAGTTGGGGGCCCATCCCCATTTTCAGGCACACCCGTATTGGGACAGTTGGGTGAAAGCAACGATAATTTACATATATGTGTGCATATATGTACAAATCTATAATATGGGTATACTTGCATATAATATATATATATATGTATATATATGTTTATACATATATGTACACATATATGTACACATATATGCTCGGACCTCCCATGATTCTTTGATTAATATCAATCTTCCATGCTCCCTCGCGATATTTGGATGACCGAGGGCATGAAGGCCTCACAGGGCTTCCCACGTTCGGTGGTGCTCCATCCCATTACTCTGTATAGATTATTCTAGATTTATGTATCATAAACCCGACAGTATGCCAAACCTGATTCCCACTGTCTTGATTCCTGATGGTTAGAAAGGGTGTTTCTTTTCTTTTCGTGGATTGCTCAGATGAGCCACATCGCAGGCAGCGGAATTGGGGTTTCAACCCATCCCAAAATGTCCCAAAGAATGTCTTTGCTGGTTTACTTGCCAGTATCTTAAGTGTCTTTTGGTGGATTACCATACATGACATGAAAATCTTGCTGAAAAAAAGGTCAAGCCGCCGTCAAACCATTAAGAAAAAAATCGCTTGCTTCCCCTGGACGGATCCCAGTTTCCCCAATGGGGATCTCATTGGGAATCGTTTCTCAGACATCAAACCTGGCAATTAAAAGTCCCCATGAAGCTCTATTTTACAAATGAGCCATGAAACGTCCCATGATACTGGCCAGTGTGCATGAGTATCCCTATTCTACGTCGCCAAACAGTCCCCAAAAAATCACCCAAAAAAAACACCTAGATTAACCTATCAACCCTCATGTACCAGTGATGCATCCCATATCTGTTTGATACTTAAAACCCCATAAAAGCCCTAAAAGTATCAGTGGTGAATTCTGGAATCCCATTGAAATCCCAACTGATTTATAACTCTCATGGCCTGATTTTTTTTTGCTGAGGATCCTTTGGGATCACTTTACGTGAAAAAGCCAATAACTGCTTGGTGGTTGACCTACCATTCTGGTTAATATACTGTTAATAATGGTTAATATTAATGGTTATTAATGGTTAATGATGGTTAATGATGGTTAATAATAATCTGGTTGGTGGTTGACCTACCCCTCTGAAAAATATGAGTCAGGATGATGAAATTCCCAATGGAAAGTCATTCAAAATTCCATGGTTCCAGTCAGCACCAACCAGATAAGGTCAACAATAAGTTACGAGTCCTAAACCCCTTCAATGATCCAACAAAAAAAGCTTGAGTGATTTTCAAAAAATGATGATTCTCCCATTGCCCAAAGCCAGATGATCTCAATCTCCGACATCGCCTTTGGCGCCCTTCGCCTTCACAAAGGCTTCGGCACATTTGCGGTTCCTGCCGCGACCAACTCTTTCCGGGCTTTTTTCATATTTCACCCCTAGTCTTGGCAGAACTGATAAACTCAAGAAATGAAATTCGCAACCGCTGCAGTCCTGCCGCCGAAGCAAGTTGTAATCAGATCCTAAGGCTTAGGCCCAGAGTCTTACGAAAGACATGATGTATAGCCATTGTATGGAGAGTGGGGATAAACATGGATAAACTATAGTATCCCCCAGCCATGGATAGAAAATACCTTGGACACCTGGATCTTTTTTGGATGGAAACATTATCAAGCTACCATCCTGGACATACGTTTTGGCGTCGTTTTGGTGCTTACTATATGAGTGTACTTCCTGGTGCATATGTATATTGTGGAATATTTGGAAGCAACTTAGCATGATATCGGGCTCTGTCTCAATTTGGGGGATGGGCCCCCCTATGGCGTTTTTGCATGGTGCATATAATATAAATGGGAGTATCCTGTTTTCAGACTGCTACCTGTGGGGTATACGGTATGACCCATCAATGCCAATGACAAGTTCTGGAAATCGGGGGTTATCCCTGGCGGATTGTATTGGATCTATCGAGTTTGGGTCAGTCCTAAACTGATCACTGCTTGATCTCACTACCACATTAACATCTGGTTATGACTAACATAGCGAACTGGAAAATCACCATGTTCAATGGGAAAATCCACGAACTAAATGGTCATTTTCAAGTTCGCCAACTGTTAGTCATAACCAGAGGGTAACCAAATAGCGGGATCATTAGCGGGATCATGAATCTAACTAGTGAGCAAACCACCAGTCGCCACGATTTCTTTTGCATGAAGTTTGCTGAAATATGCAGTAGCATTTGTTGATGCGGTCAACATTGACTGTATCCAGGGTTGCTGTGAGCAGGAGCTCTAGGTTGATTGGTCTGTTGGCAAAGTTGCAGCCGATCCCCAATAATTAGTGGGTGTTGCTGGGAAATATGTCTTTGATTCAACATCATGGAATACAAAGTTAACAATACCAAAACAGTCTACCTAAATATCCATGCAGTGATACCAACTAACTTCAGCAATTACTCTAAGTGTATGGTGTGCACACTGTCGTTTTCATGTATCTATTCCTAATGCGTCACCGGTTGACCATGCACATGTGTTCTTGACACTACTTCTTCACTCATATTTCCCTGTAAGTGTTACCCTCCAGTAAATGAACAAAATCGTTTTTTGCAAAAAAAAAACATTGGCGAACGTTGTCCAGCCCATGAAGTGAACATTACCCTCCAGTAAGTGAACAAAATCTTATTTAAAAAAAAAGAAAAACATGGCAGGCTATAGCAACTAGTCTCTTCAACAGCACTTTCTACACGCTACACTCATAGAATTGGATGATGGGAAAATTTACAGGAAAGCCCGATCAATTTGATGGTAAAAACCCATGGGTTTCCGGTTAAGATTTTCCCAAGAAAACCAATCCAATGATACACCACTTCGTAAACCTTGGCTTTCCACGTCCGAGAAATCATCATCCGAGACACTGCCACGCCACAGCTTTCCAGGAAGGTCGAATCCTTCACCTGTCAATGAGGGCCCAAGCTGCCCATGGCCCGTCAGAATTGGCTTGGGATGTTGGGATATACCCTCTGGTTATTTAACATAGCCATGGATTTATAGATGGTTTATAATTGATTTACCTATTAAAAATTAGGTTTATGTATCTACCCTCTGGATTTACCTATGAAAAATGGTGACTTTCCATAGTTATGTTAGTTATTGAACCATTGATTTTCCATAGTTATCTTGGTTATTTACCATGTATTTACCCTATGGATTTACCTATTCTAGATGGTGATCTCCATAGCTATGTTAAATTTACCTATGTGAAAGATGGTGATAAATTGGTATTCTTGCGAATCTGCCACATGGCCCATGGTATCTAAATGCTGAAAGATATCTGGTTTTACTGGCAACGATATAGAAATGCGGCGATGAAGAATTCAAAATCCCATGAAATCCCATGATTTACTGGATGAAAATGGCGACAACACCAAGAAGTAGTGGGCTGTTTTCAATACCCCATTGTTTAAGCTGATAAAATCAACGCCTTTCCTAAGAAGCTGGCTGATGCTGTAGAATTTGCCCAAGTCTCGCAGGGGCAGCGTGCTGTTTCTGAAGTCGGAAGTCTCTTTCAATAGAGATTGTACTATCCTCCAAACAGATGTTAAAACAAGTTGGAAAGCTGGAAACTATGACATCTATAGTTTTCAGGTAATGCTTTGCCATCGATTTGGGGACCCCTTGTAGGTTTGCCTATCAGGCAGCATCAAATCTGGTCTCTTTTGGGCCAAAGCCTCATGCATCTCCACGTCCTATGCGGGAGGTTCTAGATGAATTCCTGCTAGGTGAAACTCCTGGCTTTCAACACATTTTTTTGGCGAAGACATTGATGGGATGATTTCATCCCAGCGATGCCCACGTTGAAAATCTGGTTGGTGGTGCAATAACCATCTTGAAAAATATGAGTTCGTCAATGGAAAGGATTATCCCATATATGACATGGAAACTAAAATTCATGTTCCAAACCACCAACCAGAAATATGTTTCTGATTGAGAAGCGCTCGTAGGAGGCCAGGGCTATTCCCCAGCCTGAGATCCACCTTTTGATCTGCGAAATGGTGTCAAGACAACGAAAAAGCAGTCGAAAGTCTCCCGCTCAAAAATTCATCCAGGCTGTTCCTGATTCAGTGTATTGGTCAATAATGTCCTTTTGGTAAAAATAGAGGGGCCGGGAGCTGGTTAATCCCATCTATCATCATAGAAACCTGTTGTTTCAGGGGTAAACCTTCAAACCCCTCTATGAAAATCAACCAATAGGATTGATCAACCAACCAATGGGAATTTGGGACATCTATGATTCTTACGATACCCTCTGGTAATTTAACATAACTATGGCAAATCACCATAGAAATAGTGAAGTTTCCCATGAAACATGGTGGATCTTTCCATAGTTATGTAAACGTTTACCAGAGGGTATATCCAATGATATCTTTGGAAAATCACCATTTTTAATCGGAAAACTCACTCTAAATGGCCATGATTGCGATATCCGTTATGATACCAGGGGGTCACTGTAGTACTCATCTTGCGGCGACCACCGCAGCACTCAGCAGCTCAAAGTGTTGCTCCAGCACCGCCCTGACAGCGTCACTTCTCGCCTGTCGGAAACAAATGGTGAACTTCGAAACATCTCAGCCCCGACAGACATATAGGACTATAACTATGGTTTATAGGTGATATATCTATAGCTACTATGGTTTATAAACATATCGAACTAGTTCCTATGGTTTATAGGTGATGCATCGAACTAGTTGCTATGGTTTATAAACAAATCTATGGTTTATATAGTTACTATTCTGATATATAGCTACTATAAACTATAGCTACTATCTCTGGTTGGTGGTTTTATATAACCATCTTGAAAAATGATGAAGTTCGTCAATGGCTTTCGGATGACATCCCATATATCTGGGTAAATTGTAATATTTCACTAACCTGAATTAAGGCCATTTGGGGATGATTTCCCTTACTAACCATGATTATAGTGAGGGAGAACAGTTTCGGATGACATCCCATGTATGGAAAATGATAAAAATTCATGCTTGAAACCACCGAAATCGCAGGACATGTTTTGATAAATCTCCCATCCCTGGTGAAGTCCAAAAAGGGGTCCCCCGGCGGGATGGTGAAGCCCCAGTGAAGCCCTTCAGTGATGTGAATGTTGGTTTTTTCAAAAAGCCCATGAAAAAAAACATCCGAATCTTTACATAACTATAGTTATTTTTCATGTTATTTATACTTATATCTACCATAAACATCCATAAACCATAGAACTCAACCATAGAACTCAACCACTTAACTAGTTCGTTATATTCACCAGAAACCATAGAACTCAACCTGCAGAATATTTTTGGCATCAAATCCTATCGAACTCAACGAACTCTCATGAAATCCCTATAAAATTCATGGTTCATGATGTTTTTTTTGTTCATCTTCCCCACCTATATCTCCCATCTATAGATGATTCCAGGATGTCCCCATTGATGAATATCTACCAATTACCCTCTGGTTATTTAACATAGTTATGGAAAATCCCTTATAAATGGAGGTTTCGTTCGCTGGGAACATCATCTGTGAATGGGCCATGGCTTCCATAGCGAACTGTTAAATAACCAGATGGTATACATACATTAATATACTGTAGTACCATAAATCCAAACTTCGGCTACTTCCAGGATGTCCCCATTGATGAATATATACCAATCATATAGCCGTAATTTTTAATGCATCATTTCCATGGCCATTTCCAGCTGGTAATCCAACCTGCCTGGGCCAGCAGCCTCCGCTTCGCTTCCTGCAAGCCTTGCAACACCTGCTGCGCGTTCGACAGCACGGCGTAACGCAGCAGCTGGGCCGAGAAGTCGCAGGGCACCGACAAGTCGTCCACCAGGCCACAGACCTTTGGATGTGGTGGTTGGAAACTCAAAAAAAGGGTCTGTGTATACCTATCTATATATATATATATATATGTGTAAGATTATGTATAGATTATGTATAGATTATGTATAGAGTATGTATAGATTATGTATAGATTATGTATATGTATCATTGTGTATTTGTGTGTGTGTATCATTATGTATATTTGTGTATGTATATGTGTATATGTATATGTATATGTATATGTATAGGTATATGTATATGTATATGTATATATGTACGATAAAAATGATGCATTAGTATACTGTATAACTACTTGTGTATGGTGATCGATATATTTATAGACAGAGCCCAAACTGAAAGTGATTTCTAATCATACTGTATCTATCTATGGAGATTCATAGTTTCCTGTAGATTGATGATACTTTGAAGATAGAGCCAAGAGATCTCAGTTGCGTGCCACGTGGTCTGCCTGCTCACCCTGCAACTCGTCATCCATGAACCATTGCGGATTTCTTGTATTGGTCATGTGTTGTATAAAAACGATTGAACCATCCAATTTGGAGGGCTATTGACTCACGCCGTTTTTTGCTTTTTTCCCTATAAAATCTATAAATGAAACGATGTGCCGCTCTCTGCCTGTTCTGTTTAATGTATATATATATATGGAAATATGAAATGGAATATATATGGGCTGCCAAATCTGGTACCCTTGTGTTCACCCCAACAAATAGCTGGGATTTGGCTGGGAAGTTTCTCAACGATTTTATGGTACCTGGTAAACGTTTACATAACCATTGAACATGGCCCAGTCGAAATACTTGATTTACCCATTCAAAATGGTGATTTCCAATAGTTTTGTTAAATTACCAGGAGGGTAACTCGACATCAAACCTGGCAATGGGAATTATGAGTTCGTCAATGGGAAGGATTATCCCATATATTATGGAAAATAAAAAATATTAGAAACCACCAACCAGAAATGGTATTCTTATAGGGTTTGATTCGCGTTTCCCTATGCGTTTCTTCAGATTCGCCCGACCTCCACGAAGTGAAACTCCTGCGCCACTGTCGCCTTCAAGAGCTGCGGATCCAAAAAAAAGTGCTCTTGCTGCAGCACGGCATCGGTGGCAAGCCACAAGAGCTCACCAGTGAAGGGTGACCTGAAGCACGAGAAATACGCTTTTTGTTGGATATAAATATATATATATGTATTAAGACAAAAACAACAGGAGTGAATGGTTAAATGAACACCAAATATATTAACATTGATGGCCATGCATATATATATATATATGTATACATCAATACGCCATATATTGGTGTTCAACATGAACAGGATTGAATGGCCAACAGGAGTGAATGGTTAATGGAACACCACATACTCAACTGTCAATTCACCAACAGGATTGATGGCCCATTTACTGAACATGCTATATTGGATATATAACGGTATATATTGAACATGGTGATTGATGGTGTAGGCTCTCGTAATTTAAGAGTGTGCTACAGAAAATTTGCTCACTTACATGGTTCGATGTTTTACCTCTTAGACATGGTGATTTTCCATAGCTATGTTAATTTACCAGAGGGTAACTAAGAGGATTCATCGGGGGGTATCCCAAAATGGAGGAGATCCCCAATTTCTGGCAAGATTGATGGGGAAAATAACTGGTTGGTGGTTGAGCCCTACCCCTCTGAAAAATATGAAAGTCAATGGGAAGGATTATCCCATATACTATGGAAAATAAAAAATGTTCCAAACCAGATAATGATGAACCAAGGGTTTTTTTGTCCTGCGGGCACTTGATCTCCATCCTTGATATTCATCGTTGGCGTTGAGAAAAAACATCCCTTTTTGGTCAAAAAATCACCGTTTTGACCTGAGGTGCAAGAAAACATACCGCTTGAAGCGGTGAGTTTGGGGTGTCAATTGATCAGCAACCTGACTTTTGGATGTGGGAAAAGAATAGACTGCTGGGGGGCCTTCAAGTATCCAATGTCGTTCCGTGCATACATTTGCATTGGAACTCTTCCCCATAGCTATCCTGGGGAGTGCTTTAATTTTCACATTGGCCTCTATATTGGGATTGGAATCTTGACAGGCCTTTGATTGAGATGGAAGAACAGTTGAAGTAGGTAGTGTTCCCATCATTTTCTTCAACACATATGCTTGTTTCCAAAGTTTGCTGCCCATACTTCTTCACCCCGGCCTTCTTGCAAAGCCCTTCATCAGTATTTCTTCACCGCCCAATACAACTGCTTCCGAGAGACACGTCAGCATCTGGGTTTTCAACCTTCGCCAGTGATTCAGGTATAAAAAACTTGAATCCATAATCTTCAACAACATTGGGTTTAAGGGAAATTCAAAACCGAAAACCACGTTATTCCCAGGAAATATTGTGGTTGCTTGTGGTTGCCTGTACATCCTCAACCAATTCTGGATAAGACTCGCCATTTTGGAAACCATCACTGCACGTCACAGTTTTTCAATTTGGTGAACATCCCCATTTCTGTTGGGCGTGAACATCCCTTCGTTGAATCTCCATACCGTTCTTGTTTCATCTCCATCCGGCCGGGCCTCCTGGGCCTTCAGTGCCGCTTTGCCTCGCCGCTGCAGATCCTTCAGCTCCGAATTCAGCTGCCGCAGCAGCCGCTGGTTCTGCGCCCTCTGCTGTCGCTGCGGCGGCACCGCCGCAGGCGGCGCCGCCGGGTGCGGCACCGGCGAAGCCGATGCGGCGGCCGATGCGGCCGGTGCTGGTGGCGGTGAGTTGGCCGAAGCTGCCTGAGATCGAGGCTGTTGAGGGCTACTGTTTATGCTTGGGATCTGTTTATGGGAGCTTGACAGCTTGTGGAATCTTGGCCTGTTTGCCTGCGAATGTGGATAGAATGGTGCTGAACCGGGGCAAATCATTGCGTATTACCAACTTGTTTGATGACTTGCATGCACGAACTTTGGATTCTGATAATTATCCAATATGCTGGTTAGTATAATCCCCCAACTAATCATCAATCAACCATCATTTGTCAAAGACTTCATCGATATATCCTCCCTGTTTTTGGTGCGCAGCACATGCTAAACCCCATATGAATGATGGGATTTCACCTCCATTAATCAGGATTTCAACATGCCTATTACCATCTGGTTATGACTAACAGTTTGCCATGGAAAATCGCCATGCTATTAATAGGTAAACCATCTATGTCTATGGGCCATCTATACCATGGCTATGTTATATAAATAACCAGAGGGTAATAATTTACAGTACTATGACCATCCAAATATGAAATGCGTTCATGACCATCTATGAATTTCACCTGTTCAATTGGGGATGGGTCAAAACCTCTCATATCAATCATCACAATTATGATCTATGAATAGATGTACCATGATGTACCCCTATCATCCATTTGATACATATGGATGACATATCTATAAATCATCCATAAATCCCAGCTATAGGCTACCAATGGCTACCATCCGAGTGCAGACAAAACGCGTCCCAGGCGTCCTCCCCACACGCCAGCGCCGGCCGTTCGCGTTCACCGTTTCCGTCGTGGCCATCGTGGCCGTCGTCGTTGCCACGGCCCGCGGCGAAGCGGCAGACGGAGGAGGCGTGGACCAAACAGTGCCGACCTGGCCGTGGAGCGCCCGAGTTTTTCGGGACAAAAACGGCCCAAAAATGGTGAGTCCTCCATTGAAAATGGGGAGAAAATGGGGATTTTGATCAGCGATTTGATGGGGATTTTCATGGTGGTTTGATAAGTTATATAATATCGAATGGTGATTCAATATATCCAGCAAACACTGGAATAATCATGGATATATGTGATATGTAATGTAGTGATATGTGGTGATATCTATAATGTTTCGATATATCCAGCTACAATATGGTGATATGTGACCACAATGAAAAGACCAGTTACTATGATCTTTCCATAGCAATCAGGTGCCAAGATTCGGTGACACTAGTTCACAATCTCGGATTAGTAGTGATTAGTATCGGATATTAATTTCGGATATATATAATATAATTTAATATAATATTATATATATAATATATATATATAATTCAATCTGATGATGTTTTCCTGATTGCATTTTCCTGATTTGGGAATCTTCTTTTGGGGTGATCTAATGCTCAATAAAAAATTGAAGCCATTCGGATGAAATCCTTAAATGTGTCCAAAAGAAACCCATGTTTCTGGGGCTTCATCAACCAAGTTTGAATATCAACAAATGATTCCAGTAGTGAACGGTCAGTAGTGGGTTTATCCGTTTATCCTAATCATTAATGCTGCTATATCAATGGGATGTTGGGAGGCTGCAATCCACCCTGTACCTGGTTGCAAACCCTGGAATTTGACCATATTTAGCCACTAAAAATGGGATGGCATTTCTAATATCTCTATTTAAGCCAACGGGAGTGAGATCGCCAACAAAATAGAATTGACCTATTGGGGAACTGGTTCAGAATCACAGAATGTAGCTGCTAGGAATGGATCAAAATGGTCATATCGATTTTCAGGAGCACAGCGCCGATAGAAAATCGGAATATATGCCTATTACCATCAGTTTCCTGTTGCCAAAAATTGCCAGCACTTTGGGCTACCTTGGTACCCATTTTTGAGCCAGACCCCTACTATGGGTCACACTAAAACACACACCCCAAATGATTCAACTACCCAACATTCCCATGGCCGAGATTAAGTTGCAATGTCTTCACACAGGGTTTTTCATCCTCAAATCGTGACCGATACCCAGAATGCCTAGATGTTGATTGCTGAATATTTAGAAATTTGAAATAGTAAATCAATCCAGGATAACAATTCATGTAGACTCCAGATCTTTTTTCACCTGGGCTGTTGAACTGGGGTTGTCATTATTTGCGGGGAAAACCTTGATCAATCCAGGAAACCAATGAGTACTAACTGTGCTAAGACCAAAGATGCAAGCCAATATCATCAATTTTGGGTTATATGTCCCAGTGAATATCCCCATAAAATGATTAAAGTTCAACCCCCATGTTGATTTCTTGGTGAGTATTTGGAGGTTTCCTAGAAGAGGGGTACCCCCAGTCATCATCCGTGGTATTTTAGGATGTTCCATGAAATAAACCCTCCAGCGTGCTATTGCGGTACCACCATGACTTAGGAAACCTCCATTGAACCCCAGAGGATGGTTCCCCCCAGTCAAAAAAGTTGCTTTAGAAAGCCCATTATAGTTATATCATGTCAAAAACATCTATAAATGATAGTTATATCATGTCAAAAACATCTATAAATGATAGTTATATCATGTCAAAAACATCTATAAATGATAGTTATATCATGTTAAACATCTATAAATGATAGTTATATCATGTCAAAAACATCTATAAATGATGGTTATATCATGTCAAAAACATCTATAAATGATCCATTGAACCCCTCAGAGATGGAAGAAAAAAAATCTCCCCGCAGACCTCGTTGCAGCGCAGCATCACTGGCCTTTTGCACCTCCTTGATGCTGTGGAGGATGCGACTGGTGGCCTTGAGGTGCCGAAACGTGGCCCAGCGAAAGGTGGGCATTTGTTGTTCAGGCGGCTGTGGAACTGTCGCCGGAAATCAACAGAAAAACTTCAGGTTTACTAGATGTGTATATATATATATATACACATGTGTATATATATATATATAGTGTGTGTGTATATATATATATAGAGTGTATATATATAGGGCAATTATTGCATGTAATGACAATCCCATTTTTTCAGGAAGTTAATTCTAAATTTTGTGATGATCTTCCCTTGCAAGGTTGTTTTGAGATTTTTCAAAGGATGAGATGTTCAGTCGCCCAGCGACTTTCCTGACCAAACCCACTGACAGCTTGAAGGTTTCCTGGGCGAACAGGGCATGGGGTTCCTGGTAATCCCATGCCATGGTTCCAAGCACAGTGGTTACCCTCCGGTATTCATTGCCATGGCAATGGAAAACGCCTTATAAATGGAAGTCTCCACAGGGTGAACCATCCAAAAAACATGGTGGACTTTCCATTGTATATAAATCCCTATGAAACGGATTGATAATCATTCCGCAAAAACTTGAAAAAAAATGAAAATGTAGCATGGTTTAACCATGGCACGTATCAGTTGTTTCGCGCCAGCTGGAGGGCATAACATACACCCATGGTGATCCATGTTGATTGCCCATCTTTGCTTGGCGATTTTCTACCATCTACCGCTATCATCTGGACACATTACTTTCATATCTATAGTCTATAATTAATTCCCAAATCAGAAATAGTATCCATTCTTGGAATTCCCAATCGTTTCATCATTGTTCATCACTTTTAATTTGAAATATCACTTACCAATACTTACCAATTGCTCTAATTGTTGGGATGCTTCACCCCGTCCCTTTACGATCTGCAATCTATGCCATCTATGCTGACTGAACCGGGCCGGGTCCGATCTATGCTGATCTGCCAGGTGTCGGCATCCACCGAGCCCAAAATCTTGGCCATGCTCAGATTCTGCTGTAACGTCTGCAGGGTCCCCAGGGTGTCACGCTTCACCTCCTGGTGTCTCGGGTCTGGAGGAAACGTTGGGTGGAAATGGTAGAACCTCTAGAAAAAAAACGGCAAATGTTCAGCAAAATTTGGAGCTTAAGAAAGCAGCTTAAGATCATGCTTAAAAGAAGCTGCGCCAGCCACCTCGGGACAAATATCGCCAAGTCCTCATAAATTCGGACGTCATGCCCAACTCAATGTCAGGTCCCAAACCATCAAGGGCCTTCCCCCTGCATCCCAAGCTCATCCGAAACCTATTTTCCAACCATATCCCTATGTTTAAATATGTTAAATCCCACCAAAATCTAATATAAATCAGCAAACCCAAGGCATCTGCCAAGTGTCCAGCAAGCTCTTCCCCGTCAGCTGCAACCTCGATGCCTCCAGCGTCATGGATAGCGCCACATCCGTCAGCAGCAGCGCGCAAGGCACCGCCGCGTGACGCGCCGCCAGGGCCAGAGAAGACTCGGCTACTTCCATCGAGGCTTCCGAGAGGCTGGGGGCCAACTCGCCTGGTGCTGCCCTAGGTGGGGCCCCCGAGCCGCTGAACATATCACTTGGTGAAGGTTTGGGAGGGGGATATGACCATACTGAATGGGGTTTATAGCTCGGGGGCAGCGGTTCTAAGTTGGTTTACAAACCATAGGAACTATAGAGATATATCTACCATAACCCCAAGTGAAATTGGAGTTATAGGAGTTATAAAACAACTAACTTGGGGGCACCACCTGGTGGATCCAAAAAATGAAGGAAAATCTACAGGAAGCCATGTGTTTTTTTCCGAGTTTCAAACCTAATTTCAGTACGGAAAATTATGTTGGCAATGTCCACCCCGGATTGATAAAGTCTGGTTGATCAATCCAGGGTAACCAGGTAACCAGGTTTTTTCCCGCAAATAGTGATACTAAAATGGTACCCCAAATTAAACAATCCAGGGGAGTTCTTTGTCGTTGACATGTTAAGTGCTTCCCTTGCTCCCAACCCGCCGGTACGTTTAAGCGGGGTTAAGCCATGTGGCGAGTCAAGAGGCCACATTCTCCCGAGAAACCCCCCAACCGTGGCTAGGATTATGGGTTGGTTGATAATCCCATTCGCCATAGATATAACATGATATAAACCAACTAAACCAGGATTTAAAAAAATTACGATAAACCAACTATATCATGATTATAAACCACATGATGATATATAACACATTATAACACTACAATAATCTTCAAAAAAAACAGGTGGATTGATTTCCACATGCTGGTGACTGGTGGCTTGGAATTCTGCTTACCTGGTGGAGGCTTCATCCGGGATGAAGCCAACAAAAAAAACAAGATCCTTCAGTGTTTGAATACCTTTCAATGGGTGGAGATTGCGAAGATTGACTGTCACGGGATGGAGAAGTTGAGAAGTTCATGAAATCTCGGAAATGGACAGCAATTCTCACCCAACATTCTTCCATGTAAATCCATGTAAATCCATGTAAATCCATGTAATTAAGCCATAGGTCTGGTAAGATTGGTAAGCCTGGTAAGCCACACTTGGCGCTCAAAGCCACGTGTGGCCACAAGTCTCTCCCCATGGCATCCCCAAGCCCAGCGAGCCCACCGAGCCCACAGAGCCCACCTATCTTTTGGCTCAGCTCCATGAGTTTCTCTCCCGCTTCCTGTGCGGTTGCCAGTGTCTCCACTGCCAGGTCCCCATGAAGTTCCTTGATGAGCTGCTCCTCAGCTGAAACATGGGTGGGTCTACCCAGACCCTCCCAGGCGCCCCAAAAAAATGAGGGAAAGTCTCCAGATGGCACCCCAACATCCAATGGTTGATCATCAAGAATGGCCATAAACTTGCAAGGAGGTGCCCCATAGTTAGCTAAGTTTGTTTATAACTCCCATAACTATGGTTTATGGCAGATATAACTATAGTTAATGGGGTTTATAAACCAACTTATAACTGGGGGGCACCATCCTGTGGTGTTGCAACCCATTTTCAGACACAAACCTGAACAGTGAAACTCCAGCCAGTTACATGGCTTGCAGAGGGATGCAACAAATGAAAATTGGTCAATGAAAGGTAGCGACTCACCCCACAGATCTCCACACGTTGATCCATTTGAGGAGCTGATAGTTGTTGTTCATACCCGTCTAAGACGCGGGATCCACAATAATAGTCATCCGCAAATTGTGATTTGTGATTTTTTTGTATATTTACTCCTACAATTGGGATGATTAACTTGATGTTCCCTTTTTATGGTCGATCATTCAAGACGGTTTGTGGCATTGTGGATCCCAGATTCTATACAGATCTATTGAAGTTAACCCCAGTCCACCAACCTCTCCAAAGAGTCATGAACAACTTTTCTTGAGGGTCTATCCCAGAATTTGTAAGTGGGTAACAACCGTATGAAATACCCCAGTTGGATTCAAGGCTTAATATGCTATATATATATATATATCGGTTTCAAACCACTTACTGTCACTTTCCGAAAGCCTATTAAGTGATATTAACTGATATTGATATTAATATCAGTCCAAAGTCTCATATGAATATATTATGTGGACTACCCTCTGGTAGTTTTTAATGATATTAGCAATAATCAGCTACCCTCTGGTTATTAATATTACTCCAGTGAATCAGCTACCCATGGCCCCTGCACCGCCCTCCGCCGAATCTCCGCCGCTGCGGCATCTCGCAGCAAAGCCCGCATCTCCTAGCGATGAATGTTACAATATCTATACATAATGGTGTGTTAATATCTGTGTGTAATATATGAATTATACCAGACCATATCGATATATTCATACATTTATACAATATCTATATATGTATGTATATCTGTGTGTAGTATTCGGATCTTATCATGATATATGTACATATACACATGTATACAATATCTATATATGATATACAATAATCCTGGAGTAGATAGAATATGGAAAGTTATTCTTCCAAAATCATGGCAAAAATGGAAATATCTAAGAAAAATCTTATTCTATCGACTTCAGGATGATATTGTATGTGGAACAGCTATTCATGCAGCGAACCGTTCAGTCAAAGGTGATGCCATCATCAGCAGAAAACAACACCTGAGGAGTTCAATCGTCAACAGGTTTTCTAAAACTGTTGCCAAATTGGGCTCCAGGGTCGCACTTCATGCGGTTATATGTATATACATATATAAAGATACAGATACCTGTAGATATATACCTATATGTCATCAATGTGTGTATATATATATATATACATATACAATATACATATATATATATATATCTGTGTGTGTATATCAATATGTACATATATATATACATATATATGTTGTATGAGAGAGATGGGTGCATATATTTGTACAGAGAATATACAGATTCGTAAAATAATGCAAAAGCATGTATATAATATATTTTTTTTTAATTTTATTGCTCAATGTATTTATTTATATTGTGATATAAGTTTACAATAACGGATAATTACGATTGTCCTGAGAAGATATTGGACAATTCAGATAATGATGATGGTGATGATGATGATGATGGTGATGATGGTGATGATGATGATGATTATGACATATGATATATGATCACCCTCCCCACCAGGGCCTACCTTGAGCTATTTGTTGTGGTATTTGCAGCAGAAAAACAAATATTTTATTGTCCAGCTTTTTGTGTGATTTCCACACGACCACACATGTACCGTACCGCTTAACTACCACCTGGTTACTCCACATCCTAAGACTCCGAGGTTGCCTTCCCTTCAAAGTAAAGTAGCCTTTGTAGATGAATTAGGGTGAATTAGGGTTATGTTGTTCAAAAAATGGTTCACTTCTTTCATTGGGATGTAGTACTGCAACACGAGAAGAGGCGCGCCACCGCCCACGGGACAACGGGACAACGGGACAACGGGACAACGGGACACCGGGCCAACGGGACAACGGGACAACAGGACACCGGGCCAACGGGACAACGGGACAACGGGACACTGGGCCAACGGGACAACGGGACAACGGGACACCGGGCCAACGGGACAACGGGACAACGGGACACCGGGCCAACGGGACACCGGGCCAACGGGCCAACGGGACACTGGGCCAACGGGACACCGGGCCAACGGGACGCCGGGAAACGCCAAGCCGAGCCAACGGGACAATGATCAAGAGCAGGAAAAACTCCAAGGGAAACACACATGGGATCAACAAGCGCGCCAGCCAAGCAACAAAACTAGACGACGGATGGCCCGAGAGCGTAGAAGAGCATGTTACTCTGTTGTAAGTAGTATCAAAAACATTGTAGTATCAAAGATGCGGATGATCAGCAGAAAGGACATTGAAATGCCATGTCAGATTTTAAGCAGAAGTAGACAAAGATAGACACAAAATTTGAGAGACCGACAGAAACAGACAGCAAAGAAACACATACACACACACATACGCACAAACAAAGACACAGACACAAACGCACACACACACACGGTACACAGACAGACACCACACGCACACACACACATACAAACAGAACATAAAGAGGAAGACACATACACGCGCACACGCACACACAGGCACAGACATACACGCACACAAAGACGAAGACCCGAACATGCACACACACACACAGTCTCCGCTGCAGTGGCAGATGCTTTTACACACAGACGCTTTTACACACAAAAGCATTTACACACAGATGCTTTACACACAGACGCCTTACACAAAAGCTTTTTACACACAGAAGCTTTTACACACAGAAGCTTTTTACACACAGGCACTTTTACACACAGAACCACACAGAAGCTTTTTACACGCAGACGCTTTTGTACACAGAAGCTTTTATGCACAGGAGCTTTTACACAAAGAAGCTTTTGCACACAGAAGCTTTTACACACAAGAGCTTTTACACACAGACGCTTTTACACACACAAGTTATTGCACACAGACGCTTTTACATAAGAAGCATTTGATTACACACAGACGATTTTACACACAGACGCTTTTACACAAAGACGCTTTTACACACAGACGCTTTTACACGCAGACGCTTTTACACACAGAAGCTCTTACACACAGACGCTTTTACACACAGAAGCTTTTACACACAGAAGCTTTTACACTCAGAAACCTGTGCGCACAAACACTTTTACACGCAGAAGCTTTTAGACACAGAAGCTTTGACACACTACAATTTTACACACAGACACTTTTACCCAAAAAAGGTTCTACACACCGAAATTTTTACACAAAGACGCTTTTACAAACAGACGCTTTTACACACAGAAAATTTTACACACAAACACTTTTACACACAGATCCTCTTACACACAGAAGCTTTTTACACGCAGACGCTTTTGCACACAGAAGCTTTTACACACAGGAGCTTTTACACACAGCATCTTTTTACACACAGGCACCTTTACACTTTACACGCAGACACTTTTACGCAAAGAAGATTCTACACACAGAAGCTTTTACACACAGACGCTTTTACACACAGGAGCTTTTACACACAGAAGCTTTTACACGCAGAAGCTTTTACACACAGAACCTGTTACACACAGAAGCTTTTACACACAGAAGCTTTTTACACGCAGACGCTTGTACACACAGATACTTCTACCCACAAAAGATTTTACACGCAGTAGCTTTTACACACCGACGCTCTTACATGCAGAAGCTTTTAATTACAGAAGCTTTTTACACGCAGACGCTTTTACACATAGACACTTTTACCCACAGAAGATTCTACACACAGAAGCTTTTACACACCGACGCTTTTACAAGCAGAAGCTTTTACACACAGAAGCTTTTTACACACAAACACTTTTACAATCTTTTACACACAGACACTTTTACCCACAGAAGATTCTACACACAGAAGCTTTTACCCACAGAAGATTCTACACACAGAAGCTTTTACACACAGAAGCTTGTACACACAGAAGCTTTTACACACAGATGCTTTTACACAGAGAAGCTTTTTACGCACAGGCCCTTTTACACACAGACACTTTTACCCACAGAAGATTCTACACACAGGAGCTTTTACACACAGACGCTTTTACACACAGAAAATTTTACACACAGAAGCTTTATGAAGCTTTTACACACAGAAGCTTTGACACAAAGACGCTTTTACACACAGAAGCTTTTACACACAGGAGCTTTTACACACAGAAGCTTTTACACACAGGAGCTTTTACACAGACGCTTTTACACACAGACGCTTTTACACACAGAAGCCTGTACGCACAAAAACTTTTACACGCAGAAGCTTTTACACACAGAAGCTTTTGACACTTTTACCCACAGAAGATTCTACACACAGAAGCTTTTACACAAAGACGCTTTTACACACAGACGCTTTTACACACAGACGCTTTTACACACAGAAGCTTTTCACACGCAGACGCTTTTGCACACAGGAGCCTTTACACACAGAAGCTTTTGCGCACAGAAGCTTTTACACACAGGAGCTTTTACACACAGAAGCTTTTTTTACACAGACGCTTTTGCACACAGACACTGTTACAAACAGAAGCTTTTACCCACAGAAGCTTTTACACACAGAACCTTTTACACACAGAAGCATTTTTCACGCAGCCGCTTTTGCACACAGACGCTTTTACACACAGACGCTTTTACACACAGAAGCTTTTACACACACATGTTATAGCACACAGAAGCTTTTACACACAGACGCTTTTACACACACAAAATATTGCACACAGAAGCTTTTTACACGCAGACGCTTTTGCACACAGAAGCGTTTACACACAGGAACTTTTACACACAGACGCTTTTACACACACATGTTATAGCACACAGAAGCTTTTTACGCGCAGACGCTTTTGCACACAGAAGCGTTTACACACAGGAACTTTTACACAAAGAGGCTTTTGCAAACAGAAGCTTTTACACACAGGAGCTTTTACACAGACGCTTTTACACACAGACGCTTTTACACACAGAAGCCTGTACAGACAAAAACGTTTACACGCAGAAGCTTTTACACACAGAAGCTTTTGATACTTTTACCCACAGAAGATTCTACACACAGAAGCTTTTACACAAAGACGCTTTTACACACAGACGCTTTGACACACAGAAGCTTTTCACACGGAGACACTTTTGCACACAGGTGCCTTTACACGCAGGAGCTTTTACACACAGAAGCTTTTACACACAGAAGCTTTTTTTTACACAAACACTTTTACACACAGACACTGTTACCCACAGAAGCTTGTACACACAGAAGCTTTTACACACAGAAGCTTTGACGCTTTTACACACAGGATTTTTTACACGCAGACACTTTTATACACAGACACTTTTACACACAGAAACTTTTACCCACAGAAGCTTTTACACACAGAACCTGTTACACACAGAAGCTTTTACACACAGAAGCTTTTTACACGCAGACGCTTGTACACACAGATACTTCTACCCACAAAAGATTTTACACGCAGTAGCTTTTACACACCGACGCTCTTACACGCAGACACTTTTATACACAGACACTTTTACACACAGAAACTTTTACCCACAGAAGCTTTTACACATAGAACCTGTTACACACAGAAGCTTTTACACACAGAAGCTTTTTACACACAGAAGCTTTTTACGCACAGGCCCTTTTACACACAGACGCTTTTACACACATAGACGCTTTTACACACAGAAGTTTTTACACGCAGAAGCTTTTGCACACGGAAGCTTTTACACACAGACGCTTTTACACACACAAATTATTGCACACAGAAGCTTTTTACACGCAGACGCTTTTGCACACAGAAGCGTTTACACACAGGAACTTTTACACAAAGGAGCTTTTGCACACAGAAGCTTTTACACACAGGAGCTTTTACGCACAGACACTTTTACACAGACTTTTCTACACACAGAAGTACCATTTTACCCCAGTTTTGGACGATCAAACCTCATTTCGTGCGAAAGGGTTGCGCCGGACGCGTGCAAATCGAAATTTTACCTCAGTTTTTGGCTATCGAACCTCATTTTTACCAAAATGCCTGTGAAATGCAAAGGTTCTCCAAGCTGCAGCTCTCTGACCGCCAACGGGAACGGCCAACGGGACAACGGGACAACGGGACAACGGGACAACGGGAACGGGACAACGGGACAACGGGACAACGGGACGGGCAGTACCGAACCCATCCTCACACAATCACATGGAAGCACTAGAATAGTGTCTTCCCAGACTTCAAATCAATATATGCCTAGTTGTAAATGAATTTTGCCACACAAAAGAAATGATAGATATTCTGCCTGGGAACTACAGTTCAGCATATTGAGCTGAAGGCAAAACTGCAAACAATGCAATTCTTCTTTCACTTGCTCTCACTCCCCAAAGAGGATTATGTAGTTTATAAAGTTTGTACCTGTGCTACATTTCCAGCAAACAATGCTTTGAAGAAATGAGATTCGTAAAAGTGTAGTCTTCATTGCAAATATGCAGCATCCCCTTCAACCAAAAAAAAAGGTTGTCATTTATAAGCTGGTGGCTGCCTTGGAGCTAGCACAGTTTTTTTTTCAGGAAGAAATTTCCTTATGAAGGTTGGAATCCCTTTTTTTTGAAAAAAAAAGACTAGTCCTCTACAAAGTGTATTGTGTTTTAAAGTGCGGCATTCCTGTTTTATTTCTTTATCATGGTACCATTCCCTCCAACAGATGCTGTTTTCTTCAAAGATTGAATACTTGACCTAAAGCTGCAACCTGTTAAACAAAAACTATATATTTTTTTCAGAATATGCAGTGTATCCTTTCCAGATGTAGTACTCCTCTCAAAGAAGCTCAGCTGTCCTTTATGTTCGAAGGTAACACCATTTCTTTGAACATAGGGAACACTCCTTTCAAAGAAACCCAGCTGCCCTCTATTTGGACAGGAACACCATATATTTGAACAAAAGGCTTCACTCATCAAAAGGAAAATTGAATCAGTTGTCCTTTTTGTGTGAAAATCATACAATTTCTTTGAACATATGTAGCACTCCTTTCAATCACACCATTTCTTTGAACATATGCAACACTCCTTTCAAAGAAACCCAGCTACCCTCTATTTGGACAGGAACACCATTTATTTGAAGGAAAGGCTTCACTCACCACAAGGAGAATTGTATATTCCCAAAGGCCTCACACCTAAAAGGAAAATTGCACATCCCCAAGGAATACCTGCGCATGTTTAGCATACAATACTTTTTTGATTATGGTTTTTGAAGGATGCATTTGATAGACACATGATGCCTTAGAGGCCAGATGAATCAGATTTGGCCTGGATTAATCTGGATTAATCTGGCTTAATCCTAGTGATCAAATCCTTGAACAACAAAAAAAAAAACTGGGTGACCTACTTTGGGACTGGGGGAGGGGAGAAGGCTCTCCAATGCATTGTTTTTGTTGTTTTTTTTTGTGTGGTTTTGTTCTTGTTCTTGTTTTTTTTGCAGATAGCAGATGGTTGACCTTGCAATGAAACAGTCAATGGAATAGAAAAAAAGTAGGTCCTGGTGGGCGGGACAAGGATATCATCATCATCATCATCATCTGAATTTCCCAATATCTTCTCAGGACAATCGTAATTATCCATCATGTCTACAAAGTGGGGCCCCCGTTTACGATAGCTAAGTTGGGGTTCACATAACTCCAATTTCGCTATGGTTTATGGTACGCAAATCTATAGTTACTGGGGTTTATAAACCAATTTATAACTGTTTTTTCATGTATGTATCCCAATCTATTCTGCCATGTTCCACCCCTTAAAAGAACCGCCTCCGCTCGCCGCTGGAAGCTCGTGATGCACTGCGAAACTTCCGCCGTTTCCGAGGACCAGCGTGGGTCAGGCGGTGACGTCTGGCAACGGTGTGCTTATGGCAAGGAAAAGTATGTGTTATATATATATACGTGTGTGTATATATATATACACGTATTTATATATATATATATATATGTGTGATCTATCTATATTATATTATAAGTTATGATCATTATATTATGTCTTTGATTAATCTTTCTATACTATTAAGGATGTTTTATTACGATTATCATGTATATATATATGCACATTGATAGATATGTATATATATAGCCCAGCTCATCTTCACCTGCCATGCACCAATCGGTTGACACACTACAAAAATTGAAGTGTGAAATTAATAATCAAAAGTCATGTTTACGTGTATAACAAATTTTATCGCTATACTCATCATGTATATTAGTAATATTATTATTATTGATTAACCTTAAATTAAATCCCTATGTTTTTTCACATGTCATACTATGTTTCACATTTCATGTAACCTTAATTTAACGATTCATAACATGTTTTTAAAATATTTATCACATTAACTGGTTGGTGGTATACCTACTCCTCTGAAAAATGATGGAGTTCGTCAGTTGGGATCATTATTCCCAATATATGGAAAACCAACCAGATATCATAACCACACTGGAGATAGAACCAGCACTGGTTGGAGATATACTGGATAACATAATGTAAGGTTAAGGTTATCCATAGCGAAACCATGAGACCCGTGCTGGAATAATATCCACAAAAACTGGATTCTCCAAGGTTGTTCTTAATATCATAACCTTAAATTGATGAACATGCTCCACATGATCCTCCGCGCACCTCAGCCTCAATGGACAGCGACGGACCTTGTGAGCCCCGCGGCCGGCCCGGCATGGAGGGCGGCCGCTCTGGCGCGGCGGCTTGGCGCTGTCGTTCTTCCAAGATCCGCGCGTAGGAATCCTGGAGAAATGCTGATTTCACCGTGGTGAAAACCGTGGTGAAACAGAGATCAACTAAGAAAACAGTAGGGGTTGGGAGCAGCAGGAGATTAAAAAGTTGCAGGTTGACTAAGAAAAATGGGTTCAAACACGACTAAACAAATGAGAATCAAAGGAAAGAGGAGAAAAGAAAGTCTCTAGAAGAATCTAGCCAGCTAGACCTCTTTTTGGCTAGATATCATGGGCTGGTTCTCTACCTCCATTGCTCTGGCGAAAGATGGCAATGGACCAGAAAAAAGGATCCATCTCTGGCTAACCCAATGAATTCCCCTGGTTCGTCAGTGATTCGTGATTCGATTACTACACCTCTGGTAATCTGTTACAGTTTGCTATTGAAAATGGCCATAGGAATAGTTGCTTTACCCATGAAAAATGGTGGATCTTTCCATCGTTTTTGGTATGTTTACCAGAGGCTAAACCATGCCCGAAATTTGGGCCGTGAGGTTTCCGACGTCATGGGGGTACCCCAGTCATGGTCCAAGTCCTTGGGCTATGGCTTTTCGTATTGAAACAACGATGCTGACGACCAGGGATCCCATGACTGAAGAAAACCATCAGAATCCCATGATATGCCCATGAATTCACCACTGGTTGGTGGTTGAGCTACCCAACCCCTCTGAAAAATCATGGACCGAAAAAAGTCAGTTGGGATTTTCTGAAATTCCCAACTGAAAAAATGGGAAAGTCATAATCCATTCCATGGTTCCAGTCGCCACCAACCAGGCCATAAAGTTGCATTCTTCTTGGCTGTCCCATATTTAAAAAACAACTCCCTGTGGCAATGTCATCCGCGATCTGATCATGAACACCTCCAAAGGCCGCCCCTGATGCGCCTGCAGCTGTTGGAACTGCTGCTTGTCGCCACCTTTATCAGGATGCAACCTGCACCAGAAAGATCAACATCTATAGGTTGTGGGGCCCAAAAAAGGTTGACTCATACCCTCTGGTAAACTAACATAGCGAACTGGAAAATCACCTTCTTTAAGTTCGGTAAATCAGCTATTTCTGCCAGTTTCCAGTTAGCAAACTGTAACAGATTACCAGCAGAGGGTATATCCCATTAAATCCCATTAAACCACCATTTTCCTATGGTTTTCCTATGGTTTTCCAGATCATTCCAGCTCTCCACATGGTTTTTTCCAATGGCTTGGGAGCTGGTTGGATTCATGGTGTGAAGCCCGTGTCGGCCGTTTCGGAAGTCAACCCTTCGTCAACTCCCAACTCGGAGTTGGCAAAAAAAGTCCAGAGATCAACTTCAAATCATGATATCTCACTGGGTTATTATATATATATATATACGAGCAAAAGGTTATTATAAAACGTCCCATAAGGTTATTATTATATATGAACAAAAGGTTATATACTTCAAATCAACTTCACAAAAGGTTATTATATGAACCCATATCTAAGGTAGTGAGGGAAACCCAGAGAAACCCAATAATAATATATAATATATAAACCATCCCCAAGTTTGAGGTTTATGAAATTGGGTCTTGGCCGCTTTTGGGATGATTTAAAGGGACCCCCAGGCATGGTGAAGTAGCCATCCCCCAGGAAGTAGCGGTCGAATGCTCACAGTATCACCGCGCTCACCTGAAGGTTTTCCTAAGTCGTGGGGGCACCCCAAATGGTTCAGTCATTTAGACCATAACTTAGTATTGAAACAACCATGGTGACTTGGGGATACCCCACTTAGGAAACCCCATCTAAGTCACTAAGTCATTCCATTTATCCACAACACCTAACCGTTTCCAAGATCTAAGATCTAAGTCTAAAATCTAAGATCTGGGAATCTATATAGTCCATATTTCTCTCTCAAAACACCAGCTGCACCCGTTCTGCCCCACCTGAGGCAAGCCTTGCGATAGGCATTCCGTAGCTCCTTATCACTCGCGGAGCTGCTGACGCCCAGAATCTGATAGTGATCCACCTTCTGCCAGGTCTCCAAGAGGAAGCTCAAACTGCCTGGGATCCAGGGCACGGGATCGCGGGATCGCTGTATTTTACCATGGGAAGATCTAGGGGAAACCATAGGAACACCATGAAAATCACTGAAAATCCCAAGGGGATTCACTGGTTTCACCTGTTTTTATCTTCTTCATCCAAGTGTGCGATGCCAGCTGGGCTTGGGCCCATGAAAAAAGAACCTTTGATGACCTTTGATGCCCTGGAACGAAAAAGAACCCATGTTCATTCTCCACCAAATTGGGTATGTTCCCATCATTCTCAGGTCTTAAATGTCTTAAATCAATGAAATCCCATGAAAAAATCCCATGAAATCCCGCCGGTTTTTTCATCCAGGTGGCGTTTCAACTTCATGAGCCTCACCAGATATCGATCCAGGAACTCGTTCTCCCGCCGCAGCATCTCCTCCTCGGCAGCTTCCTCCAGCAGCGCCTCCGGAGACCGCGGCAGCTGTCGCAGCAGCCAGGCATCGTCGAAGGAGACGGGACCTGGGTGACCTGGACCACGGGCTTTTCCATGGCAGATTCCATGGCAGATTCCGTGGATTTCCATGGGTTTTCAATGGAATTGTACCCTGAAGTTGCTCCTCTCGCCACCGGTTGAATGGGCGGAACTCCGGTTTTGTTGTTGGAAAAGATCCATCCATCCCATCCCGAAGCCACGTGAAATCCATTCAAAACCTATCAAAAAAAACGTGATTTTCGTCTCTTCAAAAACTATCCAAAATCCAGAAAACACGCTTAAAACCATGGGAAATTCCCTTCGAAAAACCATCCAATATCAAAAAAAACATTTAGAACGGTTTAGAACCATCAAAAAACCAAAGTCGGAAGTCCCTTCAAAACCCATTTTTTCCCGTCCAGACAATGTCCCGCCTTCGAAGGACCCGGCGCACCACAGGCAGCGCAGCAGTTCCCGTCGCAGCGCCGCCTGCAGCAGCTCCGCAGGAGCACAGCCGCGGGGTGGTTCAAGGCGACCCAGGGCCACTTCCACCTGTGGAACTCCGAGAAAAAATGTCCAAAAACCTAAGGAAGATGCATGTTTTACTGGGTTTTTATAGGAAAAGCTAGGAATCATGCGGAGTCTGGAGGATTTTTATGGATTTGTTTGGGATGCACATGCTGAGAATGTGAAGTTTAGAGAAGTTGATGGGAGTTTTGGTTGATTTGTACCAGCACCCAGGAAGAAAATAGATGTTAGTGAATTGTCTAGAATTTGTATCAGCTGAATGGAGAGTTCCCATTTCAACCATCAACAATGAGGCATTGTGACAACAATTTCAACAAGAAAAACATTATCCTTAAACACTTAAACCTGCAAGAATAGCTATTCACCCCTACCATCACCTCAAAATACTGCTTACAAAGTGGGGCCCCCGTTCGATAGCTAAGTTGGTGAACATAACTCCAATTTCACTATGGTTTATGGTACGCAAATAACTATAGTTACTGGGGCGAATCTAAACCAATTTATAACTGGGGGGCCCCACATTGTAAGGTTTCAAATTTTGAGGTCCCACCGTTTTCGAGGTCCCACCGAAACGATAGCTGGTGAAGCCAGAGGATTTTCGCAGAATCCATCCAAGTGTGATGAATCATCTTCCAATCCCCCGAAAACCTGGGAGGCCCATGTCGAGAACCAGGAAAAGAAATGGCTATGGCTAAAACATCGGTTACCGGCTGAAAACTGGAAATGACCCAGTTCAACCAATAGCAAATCATAAACATTCATAAACCATGCAACTTTCAATCCACAAGAAACAGCTCTTTACCCCACCATATCTCCTCCATCCTCTCAATTTTCCACCTGGGAGGTCAATAGTTCCATCGTTTCCAATGGATCAGTGGCTGCCATCACTTCGTGCAGTGCCTTGCAGCACGCAGCGTTGGGCGAGCCGAACTGCTCCTGGGCCGGGCCGAAGGTCACTTTGAATGGCCGAAGGTAAATGATAGGTAGATGGTAGGGAACTCAAAAAAGAAGGGGGATGAACCAAACGAAGAGGGGGATGAATGCGATAGAACAACAAAAAGAGATGAATGGGGTAGAATCTACCAACGACAAGGGTGAATTGATCTGAGCCCCCAATGAATGATATCAAATGGTTTGCAATGAGTTCCATGGATGTAAGCACTAGCCCTTGGTGGATATATCGGCCTGTATAAGTATAGTTATAACTAGATGTTCCCTGAAGACGGCACTAATCCCCTGCATCTCAGCAGAAAGCAGGTTGTATTGTGTCAGTGATCAAGCCAAAAGAACCAACAACACAAACCATCATGACTGGAAGAGATCACTTCAGGCATTTGAGGTCACAAGATGCAAGTGTGATCGTGCCGACTTTACTACAATGCAACGGGAATCTAATCAAACTTTAACACACAATCAGCAATGTCAATGGGGGAAATCAGCAAGCACCAAGTACATTGGGGATATCAAGGAGGATGTTACAGGATTGCAGCACATGGAAATGCGCCATAGAACGCACACTTTTTGTCTGCACAACTGCAACAACATCCCAAAAATGAACATCAAAAAACAGTGACTGTTTTAACCATCTCAGTAAGAAAAAACTCAGGAAAACCCATCATCCCCAACATCTCTGTTGGTGTTTTCTGGTGCCCCCAACATTGAGATGTCCCAAGTGTCCACCAGCCCCGCGCCAGCCGCGCTGTTCAGCGATGGATCGCCCAAGAGCCCGGCGAGCAACGCTTTGGGAGGCACGAGCCCGGCGAGCACGTCGCGGGGCGCACCTGGAGCAAAATTACCCTCTGGTAATTTAACATAGCTGTGGAAAATCACCATTTTTAATGGAAAATCCACTATAAATGGTCATTTTCAATAGCTATGTTAGTTTACCAGAGGGTAACCAATCATTTCATGGGGCGCCCTATAGATATCATCAGTCAATCATGGGATTTTAGAGTCATACAATGGGTAATGATAATTCATGATGGCACATTTTTATGGGACAAGATTTAGATATAGATATATAATCATTTATATATATTAATATATACATACATATTACATATTCCATATTACATATTACATATTACATATATATATATTTATATATCCATATATAACTTACATAACTACAGTATTATAACTGTTGCCAAAACAGTGGGATATTTTGGTCCTTGACTTTCTCCACCTGGAACCGCAACGCGGCCCCAACGGCCTGGAGACGGTTCCGTGGAGCCCAACTCAGCTCGGAGCCAATCCTCTGCCGCCAGGCTGAAGACTTTGCTGGAACTGCGACCTGCAGGAACTATGGTTTATTAATAGTGATTAATGGTGATTAATGATTCTATAATGGTGATTAATGATTATTAATGATTCTATAATAGTCATTTAAACTAACAGTTTGCTAGTGAAAATTGTCATTTATAGTTGATGTACCCATTAAAAAATGGATACCCTGTGACCCTCTGGCTTAACTATGGTTTATTAATTATGGTAGATATAACGAACTAGTTAATGGATGTTTTCATGGGCTTTATAAACCTACTTATAGTGGAAGATAAGTTACCCTCGGGGAAACGTTTACAGTTTGCAAACTGGAAAATGGCCGTAGAAAGTTCGTTGATTTACCCAGCTACAAAATGGTGATTTTCCATTGTTATGTTAAATTACCAGAGGGTATGTTTGTTGGTTGAGAAAACCCCATCTAAATGTAGCTATTTACGTATCATACACTATTGTTCGCTATTGTTATTATAGTTCTTTGCACCAACTTAGCTAACGAACTGGGGCTTGACCCTGTGTGGGGTCTTTTTGTTGGCCGAAAAACCAGGAGATCATCGGAATATCCAGGGATTTTTGACATGATTTAACCTGATTTAACCATCCGTACTTGGAATATACCATCTGGTTATTTAACATAGCCATGGAAAATGGCCCATTTATAGATGGTTTACCTGGGTTTACCTATTGAAAATGGTGATTTTCCATGGCGAACTGTTAAATAACCAGAGGGTAGTGGAAATAGTTATAATGGATTCAATCATCTAAAATGGACCAAAAAAGTAGGGATTTTTTATGATTTTTTTGGGCTTTTCCCAGCCATGGGGATCTGCAAAAACCAAAAAACCGGTGCCACGATGTGCCATGTGCCATGGTCAAGTTCGATGGGACCAGCGGATCAGTTGTACCCGGCCTGGTAAACCAACAGTTTGCGAACTGGAAAGATCCACCATTTTTTAATGGGAAAATCACCATTTTTAATGGGAAGATCACCATTTTTAATGGGAAAACCATGGAAAATCACCATTTATAGCTGGGTAAATCAACGAACTTTCGACTGGGCAATTTTCAATAGCAAACTGTTCAATTACCAGAGGGTAACAACCTGATCACCTTGCGGCACGTGGCATGTACTGTATGTTGATGGCACCACTGCAACCGATAAGCCCAGGGGCTTATAGACATGGAATCACAAATAAGGACAGGCCGTGGTGAACCAACACAGCTAAAACAAAGACAGTTGGCCAAAGCAGTTGGAACAATAGTATTTTTGGGGACTAAGTATTTACATGGATCCAACATGAGGGTGCAACAGTTTGAAGCCCTACATCTGTTTTTTCTGTATATGGATTTTGTATGATTTTGTCATATGTCATTTGATATTTTACGATTAGGGTACTTGGTTTCCAAGTTGATATTGGTTCATGTGTTCTGAAAAAAAAAAAAACTTTCTTGTTGGTGAAATGCCCGATTTTTGCTGGTCATCCTGGGGTAAACTAACATCCGATATATGGGAAACTGATAGATCTGATAGCCGTCGATCAGTGGAAATTCACCCTATCAGTTTTGGGGGGTACCCTCTGGTAAATTAACAGTTGGACCCTGAAAAAATAGCCTAGTTTTAATGGTTTCACTCATCTTCCAACCCCAACAACTGCCAGGGTCGAACTGTTAATTTACCAGAGGCTAAACGAACATGTGGGAAACTGATCCAACCCATCTCTGGAGCAAAAAACCTTGGATCCAGCGCAAAAACCATCGTGGAGGTGGAGCCGTCTTCGTGGACGAGCTACCTGGACCCATCGGAAGTGGTTCACCGACATGACCCGGCCTGGTGAACATACAAAAAACGATGGAAAGATCCACCTTATTTCATGGGTAAATCAACTATTTCTATGACCATTTTCAATAGCCAACTGTTTGTTTATAGCTGAGTAAATCACCATTTTATAGCTGGGTAAATCAACGAACTAACTAAATGGCAATTTTCCAGTTCGCAAACTGTAAACGTTTACCAGAGGGTAATCTATGTATACAACTTGGGATGCTCCATTCATCTGACTGGAGTATTGGGTCGCGTCAACCAAACATGTGCGATCATAAGGGGATGTCCTACGGTTATAGATAATCCGTACCCTCTGGTAATTTCACAGTTCCCTATTGAAAATGATCATAGAAATAGTTGCTTTGCCCAGCTATAAAATGGGGATGTTCCAGTTCGCTACGTAAACGTTTACCGGAGGGTAATCCTTATCCACTTACAATTCCTGACCATCCTGACCCCTAAGTAACTTCAAGACGGACGTCTTGACTTTTTCTGATCATCCCCAGATTGTTGCAATTTAAAACTCACCAATGATGATATGCGCTGGAAATTGGAAAGAAAATACTTGGGATACTTCACTAACAATGAATATATTCACCAACATCCCGTCTTTTTGACTTGAGTGTTTCTTCAAAATGTGGAAACAATTCACATGGAAGAGAAAAAAACAGATGTTTGACCATAGGGGTTATATCCCAATTATGAAGGTAAATACCCATGGTGATATCCATGCACAACAAATTTCTGCCCATTTTAGTGAATCGATGTGTCCTTCCTTGGGAAATCTGGTTGGTTGAGCCCAGCTACTGGACTTTTTTCCCATCCAACGGAACCGGTTTCGGTGATGGTGTGCGAAATATGAGGGGATGGGATTTGTGATTTTTGTGACCTTTTGGTATGGGATATTTATGTGACTGTATGTGTATATAATAATACAATACAATATAATATAATATGATATAATATAATATAATATAATATAATATAGTATAGTATAATATAATATAATATAATAATATATATATATAGTAATATATATATAGCTTCATATAGACGTATAACCCAGTGGTTCTGATTGCCCAAAACATCCAGCCCCATCTTGTGCTCTCCAACCGTTCCATGTTCTTATCGCCGCGCCACACAAAGGACCAGCCATGAGCATTGCTATGCCACCATCATAGGAGACCAGGCGGATTTTGGGCGTCAACTGGGAGGGTTCCAACTTCGAACAGAAGCATGGCTGAAGCGAGGCCGCGACGCCACCTGAGATAGGACTGTGGGAGAGATGGGTATCCAAGAAAGCTGATGAGGGGACGAATGTGGCCTGCAACTTGACCATGCCCAGGATGACCTTGGGGATCCCAGTTTTTGAAACACCTATGGACCTATGGACCATGTGGGGCGTATAGTTTTATGACGGAAGAGGTTGACTTTCGACCGCTTGGATGGCATCCCCAACCGCACCTACAGTCGATCCTTCCTTCACCGCCAGCGCATAGCCCGTGCCCCGCGCAGCCGGTGGCGCAGCCGGTGGCGCAGCCGGTGGCGCAGCTGGGGCCGACGCAGCTGGGGCTGGGGCAGCTCGACTTGGCGGCGACGATTTGGAGTTTTTTACCTCACCATGGTTTTGTCTCCCCTGGGAGGATCCAGATGCCGCTGGAGGTGCTTGTTCCACCGGCTTGGGCCTCCGGCGCCAGTTGTAGGAGACCTGACAACGATTCTTGACCCATGGAAATGATCGAATTCAAACATCAAGTCACGGCAATTGGAGTTACCGGAAACAAATCATCCACTTCCAATTTACAATACGATATATACCATATACCATCATATACCCACCTTCAAACTGCCGCCGCATTCTGTTGCTCTCACATCATGTTCCATTCTTCGTTGAAATGCGCAATTGCTACCCATTGACCCATCCATCCCCACCTCTTCTTCCTCCAGGACTTTGCGCAGTTCATCACTGACGTAGTTCTTCAAATCCACCGCATCTCCCGCCGCGGGCGCCGATGCCACGGCGCTGGAAACTGCTGGGGTGCGGCCGGCCGGCGGCTTCCCGCGGGGTGCCGTGGGCGGGGTGCGCTTGGGCCGCGCCTCCATGTCGGCGCGGTAACCGCTGGGAACACCGGGGCCCAGAGCGATGGAAGGCAACTTGGAAGATCTGTCAGTGCTTTGACTGCTTGGGGCCTGGCCATGCTGAATGGAATCTAAACATATCTAAACAAGTTTGGGGGTTCAGGGGGGTGCCCAAATCATCAGAATCGATCTGCTGACCAGGTCGGCAGACCACATCGGTCATCTGACAGTGGGGGTTGCTCCCCCGGGCGCCAACATATTTATTCACCCTTTGTGATCCACATGCCAAAGTTTGAGGCCAAGATGCCAGAATGAATCCTCCCAAAATTGGATGAACATCTGGGTATGGGTCGAGTTATTAGGTACCCCAGAATGAGATAGTTGACACTCAAAAAAAACAAGCCCCTGGTCTTTAATTTTGACCCATCCCCATCTCAGTGATTTTTTCTTCGTTCTTGGGATGTTCATCGGGGCCATGCAAATGATAAATCGTATTTTTTTGGGCATATAGTTTTTAACACCGCCCCAAATGGTAAAGTTGGGTAAAGATGGCTTACCATTCCCACCGATTCGGTCCCAAAATATGGTACCCCATGCCTTCAAAATTCCTTAAAACTTCATTTTCCCCATGATTTTCATGATTTTCATGGGCCATCACCTGGGGAACCCACAACTTCTTCAGCCACCCAGGCGTCACCCGCCATGGCCTTCCTCTCCGGTGGCGAACTGCCCACCCTGCGCGACACCGCCGGAAGCTTCGCCGCCTCCGAACGCGCCCGGCCCAGGCTGCCGCTCCGAGTGGCCATGGGGCACCGGTCGGTAGGCTGGTCATGGGGCACCGGTGCTGATGAGTTGCGGCCCAAAGTTGCTGGAACCATCTGGAACCTATGAGCAGCTGGAATATTCTGAATTTGTGAGGATCATGTCTAGTTTTTCCCGAAACATGATAATAATGGTCTAGAGTCTATTCCTTAAACGAAAGTAACACGGAAATGCAGCGAATAATCTGTTGCGAAGAAGCATCTGTTTGGGGATGCGGAGGTACCAAGTATTGGAACCTTTGTTTGGCACAGGCGGAAGGCGCTTGCTGCTACCGCGCTGAGGGTTGGGTTAAGATCGTGTCAACTTCTAACGGGCCAATATTGCAAAGTTCCACGTAGACGTAGCCACTGTATGAAGCACATTACCAGTAGCATGTCTCAGGACTGAGATATTCTCCCCCGCCCCCATCAAGGTTTACAACATTTTTCGTCAAGGCTAGCTGACAAATAGGTATCTGAATCCTGACCTCAATCCCGCCATCTTGATGTCCGGTGGTAGGTCTTTTTGCTGCATCATTCTGGTTCAACAAACATCACTGGCCCCAAAAAGTCCGGATTGGCCAATTCTTTACACTACCTCAGACCTCTAGGACCCTTATTTGTTTGGTTTTCTTAGTGGACCCTGCAGCCACCTTGCCACCCCACAAAAAGTCGGCCTCAGGGTAGAAGTACCTGATGAAAGTCTTCATCTCCTCAAACCAGGAGTTTCTCGAGCCGGGTCGGTCCGTCAATGGCCCCCAAAGGGGTGAAATGCCAATGCAGCTCCGTCGCTGCGGCCTATGCATGTGCTAAATTCAAAAGAGTGTATCGCAAGCTATGTCTGGCCAATCTGCACCCATCACCTCACCAAAATTATGTACAACAAGGGGTTGTACGGATACATGTATAAACATTATATATATATACATATATACAATAAAGTAAAATATAAAATAATATTGTAATATAGTATAATGCAATAATATATAATGTAATATAATGTAATATAATATAATATAATACTATATTATATTATATTATATTATATTATATATTATATTATATCATATATTATATTATATATATTATATTATATATTATATATTATATATTATATATTGTATATTGTATATTATATATCATATATTATATATTGTATATTATATATTATATATTATATATTATATATTATGTATTATATATTATTATATTATATTATATTATATTATATTATATAAATATACTATACTATAATATAATATAATATAAATATAATATAAATGTAAATATAAATATAAATATACTATACTACAATATAATGTAAATATACTATAATACAATATAATACAATATAATATAATATAATACAATTTAATATAATATAATACAGTATAATATTTGTATATGTATATACATGTATATGTATATGTGTATGTGTATCTATATGTATATGTATATGTATATGTATTATGTATATGTACATGTATATGATATGATGGCAGGTTGTCATGTCAAATTATGGTTTGGCTGATCGTCATTCCAGGGAGGTCTTCCCGAAATTGGATGGGATCGATGGCATGTAATGTAAGAATACCAGCTGTCGGGTGGATTACCCATACAAATGGGATGTGATTAGCTCATAAAATTATGGGTGGCTGTCCCACTCAGTGATTGTAGGAATTTCCCAGTTCTAATGCCTAGTTATACGGTGGTTTTGGTTGGGGTGTCCCGCCAAAACCGACCCGTTAAACATGAGCAGTGTTGAAAATCCTCTGTTGTCCCTTTATACTGGTTGGTTGATAGCTATTCCCACAATGGATTTTGATGATCCCCAATGTAATCTAATAAAACATGTGTGTATATATATATATATGTAATTGACTCATCATCAAGAAAGAGTGCCCTTAAGCCACAAGCTAGAAGGAAAATCAGTTGGTTTCGTGTTTATCCACGTGGGACGTAGAAAAATATATATATATACTGAATTGGGTAGTACAATCCCCTATAATAATCAACCAACAAAGGTTACAAAACCCTTCTCCACTTCAGCCTTCAGCTTTCCCCGTCCCGCTGGAGCCCTATGCTGAAAATTACACTATCAACTTGTCCAGAAAATATTACTGGTTGGTGGTTTCAACACCTCCAAAAAATATTAGTCAGTTGGGATTATTATTCCCAATATATGGAAAAATAAAAAATGTTCCAAACCACCAACCAGATATTAGATGTTGGGGCTTAGCATCATGTGCTGTACCTGAGGCTTGTGGTGCTGGTGGATGGTGCTGTTGACGGTTGTAATCGACTTGATGTACAAGACCTGTCAGGATGGCAGATGTTGAAGGGGTAAGCGGGGCAAAATGGTAAGGGTTTGGACACTGCTGGGTAAAAAATTACACACTCCAAGCTCTGGTTGAAGTCACTGCCAAAAAATAAGGCTCTTTTTCCAATGCCAAATAAGCTCAGCATAGCTTCTGGTCGCTGGCACTATGAGATGCAGTGACACTGGAACACATTTGTGTGATCAGCTCAACTCTGCAAAAATCATGAAAAATTAAAAAAGCCACCGCTCCCATCTGCTGCTGAAACTTCGTTCGAGGTCAGGCCGAACCCAACTATGGCCGGTTCTCCCTCTTGCCCCTAGGCTTGCCTCTACCCTTCTTGCCCTTGCCCTTGCCCTTGCCCTTTGAATTCTGTGGAGCGAGGTCCATCTGCCGGGCCTCCTCATGAGTTGAGATCCGTTTGCCGGCAGTGAACTTGGAGTCCCACTCCTCCTTGATACGAGGCTCCCGCAAATCTACCAGCAGCACCGGGATGGACTGGCTCGCCGGAAAGGCTGACTTTACACACTTTAGGCGGCGATTGTCCAGGGCAAAGTGTACAGACTCCAAGGCTACAACCCGAATGCCAAGCTCAGCGACCGTCACTTGACCTGTTTCAGCTGCTGTACAGTGGACTGTAGACTTCTGCCATCACGAAATTCCTGCCCGCAACTGTCTTGACAAAAGCGAATCTCTTGCAAAGGCAGATCAACCCTCCTGGCTGGCCGGCGAGTATCCAAGAATGTGCAGGTCTGTATCAGCTGGTGCTTCACATAACAGCCGTAACAGCCGATAGTGTCTGCAACGCTTGCAAAGTCTATGTAGACAAGCCAGACCTCTGGTCGTCCAACACCATCCTTGCCACTCATGAAGTACCACCCGTCGGAATCGCGAGCAGCAGGCTGGCAGATCAACCGGATCTGGGTCGGGTCGACCCTCTTGGATATGCCATCGCAAACAAAATGTGGAAGATGGGACTCATAGCCCATGCGATAGTGCTCTTCGTCTGTTGAAAACCGCAGCTGATAAGTCTCGCCAGGTTCCAAGACCTGCGAAAGCCCTTCTTCATCGCCACGGAGAAAGCGGCCCCGCCGAACTTGGGGCAGTATCCCAAGCGCAAAGCTTGAAATGTTCTCCACGATAATCCAAGGCCCTTCACGGTAAAGCTGCAGGAAAGGGCCGACATCTCCGATCTGTTCTTCGAATTGCGGCCTTCCAAGGCCCAAATCCTTCAAACTCATCCCGGGGCCGATGCGCCACATGACAGCATCAGGCTGCTGTGGGGACTGTGGGCTTTGGGTTGTGGCGACTTCTGGCGGCGACAATGGTTGGCTTTCGGGTGCAGAGTGGGGTGCGCTCTCATTGCTTTGCTCAGATCCCATCAGAACTACCGGGGTGTCAATGCAGGCTGTGGCAAGCTCAAGATGGACCAGTTTGGTGAATGTTGTTGTGACTGTGTCCTCTTTCTTGGAATCCCTATGAATCATCGATGTTCAATCAACTGTCGATAAGACACACATCTGTTTGAGATGGAATGGTTGCTGGGGCCAGCCGATCCTTGCAAAACATATGAGTCTGGTAGGCTTTGCAAAACAAAATGAGTGCGAGTCAAAATCAAACGGTACCCTGGTGAAGCCTAAAATAGTTGGTAAATGGATGTTCATCCCCATTCAGCCCCATTCGTCTATAGAAATGATAGGTTTTGACCCATCCAAAAATATTGGTGAACTGAGTATGTTGAATCATGTTCCATCCCATCCCATCGGGGCACGCCTTCTGAGAGTTGTGGCCGTGGAGAAGACAAGGATGTCAAACGTTTAAATGCGGTTGATGAACACCAACGCGAGAGTGGCGTCTCAGTAAACTCTTTTCATTCACTCCTGTGAAATGTGTATGGTGTTTATGTTGTTTTTTCTGGTAGATACCCCTTTCCCATCTTTCTTCTCCCAACAAAATATTGTCTAATTTTACCGACGAAACATATGATGATGGTGTGCTGTGATGAATGTGTATAGGAAATTGATTGTGTGAAATGATGTGGTATGCTATGGCGAAAATGTGTCTGATTACATGTGTATATATTTATAGAGAGAGAGAGGTGTGTGTATGTGGTTGTTTGTGATGAAACGTATCATGCTGTTGGCTGCATTGGGTTTCAAAAGATGAAAAATGGTTTTCTACATTGTATACCTCATATGCCTCAGTTATACATGGATAATCCCCAGTATAAACCACTATAACTGGGGATTATCCGATGATTATCCATGTATTTGTTGGCTTATGTGTGGCTTAACCACTACTTTTCTATGGCTTTTCTATGGCTTTTCTATGGCTTTTCTATGGCTTTTCTATAAACCACTACAGTGGCCATCATCCAACTCATCCAGCCATCGGCCAACCCGCTCCTGCAGGCCGATGCGGATCAAGGCCGCCTTGGTGTTGCCTCCATAGTCCAGGCCGTCGCAGAAGCCTCGCTGACAAGTCATATATAGTGGCTGTATGTGGCTGTACGGTTTAACCAAAAATGTGTGACATATTACGATAGTTATATATGACAGTGGTTATTGTACTATGACATAGTGACTAATTGTACTATAACAGTTATATAACAGTATATAGTGTTATATAAAATGATAATTAATATAGCTGTTATATATATATATATACTGTCATAGTATGTAATAAATATTACTATAGAAAAATATCATGTTAGTTATATCTACCATAAACCATAGTTAAATCAGCCACAAAAAAAAACTGGCAACTTCTCACAGTGTTTTCTAGTGAAATCCCTAAATCCCATCGGATTTTTTTCTGGAAAAAATCCATGGAATCCCCATGGCTCTGCCGTCAAAAGGCCTGCACCCAGCGCGACCACGTTTTTCAAGGCACCGCAGAGCTCGACTCCTCTACAGGTGACAGCGGCAACAAAAAAGTCGCCTTTTTTTTGGCACAAAAAAAAAAAACGCTATGGAAAATGGCCTGTTTGTGGATGAGAAAATATGAAAAATGGTGATGTTTACTCCCAGTCCGCTAAAGGTTGAGAAATCTTGGTTAAGCAATGGAAAAATTCCAGATTAAGGCGATGAATTGGGGAGTTGACCCCCAAAATAGTGTTCTACATTCCGATTCGAAATTGGCATCCCTACTAAACAAACTAGGGGTTTACTCGTGCTGGATTAACATTACTTAGTACCTCATCTAAGTGGTGGTACCTGATCTTCGAAAACAACACAGGTGGCACCTCAGTTAAGAACTGGTGAAGTTGTTCTTCATTGATTCCCAAGCTAAACTTTGTTTATCTTTGTTTTGTGTTCCTCCATGGTACCCTCTGGTAAACAAACAGTTTGCTATTGAAAATTGTCATTTAGTTAGTTCGTTGATTTACCCAGCTATAAAATGGTGGATCTTTCCATCGTTTTTTGTAAACGTTTACCATTTCGGGTACCTGGGTACCTCAGCGATCCCAACCAGCGATTTTTCTCGTCTCCGGGGATGTCATCCACAGCGGTGACGCGGAAGGTGCGGCAATCAAACCTGGGTCAGATCTCGTCCAAGAAAAAACCAACCATGTGGTTCTGGGAGTTCACATAGTGAGATATCTAACCAACCATGCGGGGTTTTTGGGGGGAGATAAATATGGATTACATGATTATAATGGGATATGACTGCACAAGATATTCTGGTTTGGGTTGCTAAGAACAGCTAGGAAATGGGAGACTAACCAAATAAAACGGTTTTTGTTTTCATTGAACGTATGGATCTATGGAAATGTGTTTGTCTGAAAACTGGGTATACCCCAAAATGACAATTATAGTGGAGCAGATGATGATAAAGATGGATAAAACATCTTTTTTTTTTTTCGGCTACCCTATTTTCAGACAAGCCCACACTTGGATGAGTAAGACTGAGAATTACCAAACATTGTGGTTCCCTGCGTCCTCGATTTTTGACTCGGACTGAGATGTTCATCTTCAAGTTTTTATACCATCTGGTTATTTAACATAGCCATGGTATAGATGGCCCATAGAAATAATTAGATGCTTTACCTATTAAAAATGGTGATTTTCCGCTATCTTAGTCATAACCAGAGGGTAAGTAAAATGTCCTGCACAAAACAGTCAAGTGAGAGTGCTCAACTGGCTACTCTAGCTGAGCATAGAGATTCAATGACCGCAGCATGAAAATCTCCAGCGCTGACTAACTCGTGCCATGGGAACTTCCAGCATTGCTCAGAAATTTTGCAAAAGCCTCGTGGTTTCTCACGTTTCTCATTTGGGCCCCTAAATCCCCATTTACCCATACGAGCTGTACTGTATGACCCAAACTGCGGAGTGGTCCGCAAGTAAAACCCAAAAAAATCTCATCACCTTTGGCAAGTAATCCGCTGACCTGGCCTTTTGGAAAGAAAATAACCCATATTATTCACAACCAACTTCAAGTGATGTGAAAACCCCCCCAACTTGAACGCAGTTGAGGTGCAACTTCACGAGCATTTGCATGTGCTTCTTGTCCTGTAAAAAAAATGTGGCCCGGTGGGAAAAATCTTCGGATGCTTAGGGGTTGAGGTTCGCTCCAAGGCCCAAAACGCCAAACAAAGGTCCATTTGATCAACCTCATACCATGAGATCCAGGATGATCATGATACTGGGTGTTTTCAGATACCCCAAGCTTCAATGTGAATTTAAAGTGATTAAAACATCCGGGCTCTAGACAACAGAAACTGAAGACACCAAGAAACCCAAAACTGTTGTGGCCAATTTGTTCCCCAGCATTCACCAGCCAAATATCGCCTTTTTGGGGGTTCTGTAATCATCATGTAAGCACCAAAAGGTCGTGGGAAAAAATGCCAGGACCCTCAAAAAAGGAGGTTTCAGAAAAGGATGGCTGCCCCAAACCATTGAAGTTTTCCCATTGATTATAACAGATTATCACCAGTTTGTTGGATGACTTTCCCCACATGACTTCGGAAAGCTCCATATTTTGACCTGGACGGAAAACGCTGGGCCTGAATACCCAAGGTCGCTTCGCAGAACTCCCCAGCAGCCACTTCGTTGGCCACCTAGCACGGGATGAAAAACTCATGGGACATTGATCACGTCAGAATATAGAAATATATGTTAATAAGTAAGTTGTAATGGGATATTCATTTATAGTATAGTTACTATCAATGATTACTAAATTACATATCAATGGGATAGTTGTATTTAGTAGGTTGATATATATATATAATATATATATATAATATATATATAATATATATATAATATATATATATAATATATATATAGTATGAATGACATGGGTCATAAACACATTTTGACCCCCCAGAACCGGCATACTTTGGATGGTTCATATCTCAGTTCCTCTACATTTCAGGGATCCCAGTGCCTCTGTGTTCCCTTCCCACGTCTTGCAAGTTGCGCAAGGAGCCAATGCCATAAAATGTCTCGCTTTCCCTTACGAAATACAATCGAAAGTTGGTTGATATCCCGGACTTATGGAAACTTTAATCATCAGCGTTTTAGACCGATATCAACCAACAATTATAATATAGTTGGTTGATATACCAATAAGCCAGGGTAGATTGCTAGTCTCCAAAAAAAAAACGATGAACCACTGGGTCTTTGAAACATCTAAAATCGGAGACCGAGGCCCCCCAACGTTGGCGCCCATGAGCACTCCAACCTGCACACATGTGCAAATGGCGTTTACCTCCAAATGGCCAGTTTAAAAGGGAAAACCATGGAAAACAATATGATAATAAGCATCAAATTTTGGGGGGATCCAATTTTCAAACGCACTTTGAGACCAGGAAGAAAAAAAGTAGTGATCGCCCTGATTTTGTTTCGCATTCAAGAAATTGGTACCCCAAAAAATCTGCCCAGGAGCTTGTACTATGGATGGTCCAAAAGACTACCGCACCAGCGATGCTGGAACCAAATCATCATAAACAGGCACCCAAACAGAAGTATTCTCTCCATGCCACAGCAGACGTTCAGAGAAGTTACCAGTATTTCATGGGGATCATTGGAGTTGTGATCATCCCAGAGATCTTTTTTGATGGAAAATAGCTGTGAAACCACGGTTTCACCAGCTTTCAATGGATTGGTTTAAGGGAACATTTACAGCAAACCCCCATATTTAATGGTAAAAACCATGGTTTCCTGCAGATTTTCCCTCAATCCAATGACTTGAAGCTTGTGTTTGGTAAAATCCTGACAGATAGCTTCTGGTGAAGAATTTTAAATCAGACTCCTCTGGGTCACAGTTATATGGTGTTGTCTAAAAATCAGGTGCCCCCCGAATTTCATGATCAATTCATCACGATTTGCCTCACTAAAAATGCCATAAATGGGTATACACCATTTTCAGACAAACTCATATATGGGGGTTTCCTGAGTCACGTGGCTACCCCAATAGCTGGATGGTTTATTTCATGGAACATCCTATGGAGAAATAGATGATTTGAGGGTACCCCCATGACTTAGCGAACTGGAAAATCATTGGAATAGCAAAATCAACTATACAGGGGTCATTTTTCAAACAAACCTCCATATCTTCACTGCTGCAAATCTCTGCCTGCCTCATGACCCAGGAGCTTTCGCAGCAGGTCGGAGCACAAGCCCAGCTTGCCGCCCTCCAACTCCAAACCACCCTTGATCAGACCTCAGCTCCAGAAATAACCAGGAAGGTGGAACAAAAAACCACGGAAAATGTTGGATTGAAACGTGAAAATATGGATTTAAGCATGAAAAAGTGATGGAACTCATCAACAGATCAAAAAAATATGATCAATGGAATGAAGGGAGACAAACCGAACACCATTTTGCCTCCCATTTTTGGCGGTTTCCTGTAGGTTTTCGCTTAGGGATCAATTCTGGGTACTTGGAGGATCATGATGATCATCCCACTTAGGAACTGGGCGCCATGTCCCCAAAAATCGTGGCTTATTCGTGGCAGCCATGCCATGCCATATCATAAATCGATGAAATAACAAAAAGGGTGATCAACAAACTTACGTAGTGGGTGATGATTAAAAAAAAAGTCCAACGAATTATCATATGTAATCATAATGATTATGGATGATGGATTATGCCATGATAACTTACATAACTTACATCAACCAAATGGTGAGCTCCCGTCCCAGTCCGGGCTTTCCGGGCTCACCGAAACGCAGCTGTCCTTAATCTTCCCCATGTTCGACACGGTTCGCGCCTGAGGATCGTCTCTCTGGATTAAAAAACAGATGTCAAAGCACCAAGCAGATTTAGCCTCTGGTCATGACTAACAGTTCGCCATGGTTTGTCGATGGCCCTAATCGAAATAGATGGTTTACCTATTAAAAATGGTGGTTTAATAACCAAAGGTGTATATACATGGATTCTCCTTGGGATAAAAAAACATTGACCTACTCAGCATCTTCATCTGGTGTGGTTTTCTCAATATGAAGCCATCTTTGGCCGCTCCGTTTCTGAGCTTCAGACTACGAACTGATGGGGCAAGACCCAAATCAGGACATCTGCGTACATCACTGCCTGCAGCTGGTTTTTAGCCATTTTTTGAGTGCTGGATCCTCCTATTTTTCAGGCGGAAACCAGAGATGGTTCCAAGTACTGCACTCGTTTCAAAGCTCCTCTAAATGTCAATATTCCTTGGCAAGTTCCTTACAAAGTCTCCGGAAGATTTTCTCAACATTTCCATGGAAGGGCCCTGAACCTTGCTCCCAGGTCATGAATTGGGTATGGCTCCAGAATGGGGTGCGTGTGATCATTTTCATTCAAAAAACAGGTGCCCAACCTCATGATCCATACCTACAAGAACAGTTTTTGTTGATGAAGTAATGTTCCCTTTTTGGGGGAATTTCTTATATATATATACATACATTCATCCTGTGTTTCTTGGTCTGTTGTCCACTTCTTCCCATAATTTCTGGATGAAACCAGCAAACAAGCCACTATCCGTACTTCTTGTTCTAAGCCCCTTTTCTTGGTGGATAAACTCCCGTTTTTGTTGCTTCATATTCCCCTTTGGGTATGGCTCAGAACATTAGTCCCAAGATTTTTATGGAATGTCGGTTTATAGCACCTTTAGATTCAGAAAAGTTGTGCAAACCTGGAGATAACGAGGAAACAACATCCTCCTGGAAACCCAAGTTATAACTCATTGAGCTGGGAAAAGTTGGAAACCCGGAAGTTATGGAAAACATAGGAAAGCAATTCACCACTATTTAGTGGATAGTTTGCCTCAAATGCCTATCTTTATCATTCTTTTCGGAGATTTCTAATCCATTCCATTCTTGTTGCTTCATCAAATCCATGGAATTAATAGGGACTCCCAATGTTGCTACCTCTATTATCTATTCCCATAAGTTTCCCATACTGGGGTTTCTTATTGGGGTCCTTACAAGATGAGGCCCCCCCTCATTCTAAGTTGGTTTACAAATCCATTGACATCCAGCTACATACCCCATAAACCCAAACGTTAACCCAAACGTTAATCCGCGTCAACTTTGCCAAGTCAATTCCCGTGGAAATCCACCATTTTTAGTTGTTAAATCAACATGTTCCTATGGTTTCCTAGGGTTTCACCATCACATTTTCACCCCATGGAAATCCACCATGGAAATCCACCGCGCTGGGCCTTTTTGAGGTCGGGTTCGGCCTTCACATGCTCTGGCAATGTGATGCCAGGCAGGTACTTCACGTTCTCCTGCGGCGCCCGGCCCGCAAGGAGAGCACGGGTCTAACATGATTAGCCTCTGATTATTTAACATAGCCATGGAAAATGGCCCATGAAAATAGATGTTTTTAAATAACCAGAGGGTAATATGTAGTTATGTAATAATAGTTACAATATTCATAGTTACTACAACAATAGTTTTTATCAAATGTATACTGTGCATGGAACACATCCTGCATCAGTTGGCAACTATTGGGATTCCGATGAACAAGTGCCAATAGTGCGATTTCAAGGGGATGTTTACCATCTACCAACTGGTGCAGGATTTCTTCCATCCACAGTATCTACTTGATAAACAACAATCGTTGTAGTAACTGCAGGAGTAAATATTCTTACTAATCTTACTAATGTCGTGAACAGTCTTACAAACTAACGGTTAGTTAAAATGTAGTTGCTATACTTTTGTTAATGGCATTTATTGTTTAAAATGGTGAAATAATTTTGATTGGGAGTTGGGAATGGAGAGGAATACCCTCTGCGAATTTAACAGTTTGCGGGTTGACTGGGACTGAAGTTCCGTCTTGTAACCATTGAAGCAAGAAGACACAACTTGCAAAGAACTAGAACCAACATGTTCACTTGTAAAACTGGTTGGTGCCAAAGGTTGGTCAAAGGTTTTATCACATGCACATCCCTTTAGAAAGTGGACATTTTCAATACAGCATCACTTGGTTATCTGCGGACGTGGATTATCTCCAAATTAGGACTTCTTGATTCACCTGTTGGCCTCCCAGGGCTTGTCTTACAGTGACCAAGCCTTCACAGAGGCGTAGCGAAACAACGCTAGGCCACTGGAAATCTGCTGGCAAAACAAAAAAAATCCTTGGACAGATTGTGAGTTCCAAGTTGCATCAACAGGCCGACATGTGGGTATAGGTTCGACATCAACCCAAAGAATGGGATCACTTTGAAATCTACACATGTTTGCGCCGAAATGATCAACCCAAAGAATGCCAAGATTGCAAAATCATCAGTAGGTCGAAATGGGCTCCAGATTGGCCCTACGCTTCCCCACATGGCCAATCGCAGATACTAAACCTTTTCATCTCACGATCTCTTGTAATGGCTAGCCAACTACCCCAAACACTTCAACGAATCTTCCACAGCTCCAGTGGTAAACCCAATAAACCCCATGCCATGTACGAAATGTTTACATTTGAGGCCTATTTTCTGACCATGTATCTAGGTTTTTTTTATGGCAGCACCTACCCTTCAGCCAGCAACCTTGGTCTCGTTGAAGACCTCCGACAGCTTTCTCTTCACGCCCTTGTGCTGAACCTCTTCTTCGAACATCCATACCTCGCTGCACGCATAGCAAACTCCCAAGAAAGATAGAAAAACTGGTAAATCCAATGCTGATATAGTGGTCAATCTAACCCTCCTCTATCCTTTCGTGGATGCTATATATGAGTATGTATATATATATATGAATATATATATATATATATTCATATACGTATATGTATATATATATATGTATATATATATATACGTATATATATGTATATACGTATATATATATACATATATATATATATACATATATATACATATATATACATATATACATATATACATATATGAATATATACATATATACATATATACATATATGAATATATATACATATATCATGTATATCTATACATACACATACGACTTATATAATTATAATATATATGTATGTATATTGTATGAGGGATCTACTTCGAGGTGCAACCCGGGCAGAAGTGGTCAACAAGCACAAAGGCATCGTTCCCCCGGAAGTGATATGTGGGAGATGTTCGATTCAATGTGTATATAGCATTATTATGACTATTATTATTATCATTGTTATTGTATTATTATTATTATCATTGTTGTTGTTATTGTTGCTATTATGACTATTACTATTACTATTGCTATGATTGGCATACTTGGCATCATTGGTATTGTTATCATTATTTTTTATTGATATTAGTACCCTCTGGTAAACTAACATAGCTATGGAAAATCACCACTTTTAATGGGAAAATCCACTATTAATGGCCATTTTCAATAGCTACGTTAAATTACCAGAGTGTATATAGTTATTTACAATGTTGGTTAGTCAGAATGATTCCGGGGTGCGCATCCAAGTAGGTCCTCACATCACAGCTGGGCATCGAGCCGGACACCGTAGCTATGGATGCGAACAAAAAAAAGGACCTGCGAAAAATCCGCAAATATAGTATAATATAGTATAATATAATATAATATAATATTATATTTTATTATATTATATTGTATATATACATGTTAATATAGTATAATATAATATAGTATGTATTATAGTATTGTATTGAGTCTTGCCTTTTCCGGACTTGTGCTCCAACTGCAGTTCAGCTGCAGTGAGAGTATCCTCGAACTCCGGATGTCTGGAAGTGTTGCCTGCAACATTGGGAAGGACCGAAAGATTGATGTGGGTGGACATGGGTCAAGATTCTTTGGACCCAACCATCCTTTCCACCTTTTCAAATTTGAATCAGTGCACCATCCAATTTGGGGGGAATGGCGGCATGACACAAATTCGGCTTTATGGATTTAGACATCATTGCCAATCTGAAAGATATCCTACAATGTTGTTTAGCCAGTCTTATATCTCTCCAATTCTAGGATATTACAGAAACAAAACAATAAGTTTGACGAAAAGTAATATGGTAAAGTCAGAACCATCAGTCATTCCCAATATGACACTGGGGATTCAAGCCGCGACCACGACACAAAGGATGCGGCAAGATCCGACGCGGCAGGCTCCGCCTGCAATGATGGTGGCAATCGCCATGCCCCAATTGCCGCTTCCCACCACCTGGGAGCTCTGACGTCGGTGACGTCTTCGGATGGATCGGATGGAGTAGTTTCCCCAAGAAAAACCAGCGATGTTTCTTGGTGCAAAACGGTGCAAAACGGTGGCCAAATCCTAAAACTCCACCATTTTTTCGAATCCCATCTCGGCTGATGTCAATCCTGGATTCCCAGCCATTTCTTGCGCAGAAACCATGGAAATTTTGGCCACGACAAGTCACACTGGGCTCTCCCACAAGAAAAGATTCTTTGTTGCGATATGTATATATATATATATATACAATTATATTTATATACTTATCGAACTATATGTGTATGGAACTACATATAAATTGGACATCTTCAGTTACCCAGCAACAAGGCCCTGTTGTCTGGCTATAACACAAGCCAGAGCAACCACCGACAACCACTCAGACTCATCAAAACAAAATCCATGAACCCTCATCTTTCAAGGCCGATGCATCTACGTTTCTGTCGTGTATATATATATATATATTATGTATTATGTATAATATAATATATATATATATACATACATACATGTTAATTACTGTAAATATATCTGGCTGAATTATAATCATTCACCAACCTGAAATTTGTGAAACGCTGCCATGTGGGGATGATTCCCACTAACCATCATTCCAGCAACATCACGACGTGAGGTGATTATAATTAATCCAGATGTAAATTTGTATATATGGCAGCCAGGTCATTGATGGATGTGTTGGTCATTTTCTCACATCGCCATGTGTTTTTCCCCAACTTCTTCACTTCATCCGTGGCAGCCACGTGGCAGTGACACTTTTCTTGGCCATCGCGAGATGGGCGGAAGCTGCAGCAAGTCGTCTATTTCTCGGCGCGATTTTTGGTGCTTGAGCCAGGAGGTGTGGCCGGTTCATGGTAAGATCACCTGCAAGGAATGAGATCAACCAGCAAGGGTGGTGAGCAAAAATCCATGGATTGGTTTTCTTGGGAAAATCTTAACCGGAAACCCATGGGTTTTACCATCAAATGTAGGGGTTTCCTGAAAATTTTCCCTCCAATTCTGTGAAAAAAGGAAGTGTTCTGCTTACTACCGTTCTGGTCATCAGAAACGATATCCGTGCTGCCAGTGGAGCTGCTGAAATGGATGGTGCAAGTGATCCCCAATTGCAGCAACACGGCAACACCTCTGGGATTCACACTAGGATCTATCATTGATAAAGGGAGACCCTTCTTCCCAGTCGCTAAAGTGGTAGTGAACCGATTGCGCCATGAAAAATTGCCTGTATCCAATCCCAAGTGGTTGATTCATGGGCATCCTTAAAAAATAGACGAAAAAACATCATCCATCACCCCTTTTTACCTATCAACCAGAAGTCAAATACACATCAGATATCAAGGTTTACTGCTTGAAACCCATAGTTACTATATTTAAACTATAGTATTCCTTATATCTATATTTCCCATATAAAGCCATTATATATCGTGATCATTTTTTTATCACGAGTTTCGGATGGCGATGGATCACGGCTGTCGATGGAGCTACGAGCCTTGGACACATCTAAGACACGTCGTGTCGTCGACGCCACGGACCTGGTCCAATGGGATCAAACATGGCGTGACACGGTTTTTCTGTGGGGATGACCCCGCAGAAAGATAGAAAAATGATATAGAGAATCTTCAAAAGGGATTCAAAATTTCTGTTATGTCTATAGTGAAAATGATATTATATGATATTATTAGGTCAATCCCCTTCTATCTGTATTCTGATTTACCTTTCTATCTTTTCGGTCATTGCTCTGCAAAACATACATTTTGGGGGTACATATGTTCAGTCATTGTCAGACCTACTGAACCATTGCACCAGAATCATAGAAAACGAGGCTAGCGGCTAGCATCACAGTGGTCTCTCCATGTGAGCAATCTACTAACATGTGTGGTTAGGGTACAAAGATCCTTGTTGTGACCCTTCGATAATCAAAGATGGCAATGGAACTCCCTTATAAATGAGAGTGCTGATGGGAAATCATCTATATATCCAGGTAAGTTGTGGATTGCCGTGTTTGATCACCAGAGGATAGTTCTTTCTTAGTCAGTTTGAAAAGCCCATCCACAGAGATGTCGACCCATAAAACGCACCCAGGGGATGTGGAGCTGAAGTTTGCCAGTAAAACGCTGATCGTTGGGCTCGGAAAAGTGGAGCATCCCCCTAAAGATGGGAAAGCAAACTCCCACCCCAAAACCCTTGGGAAAATCCTTTCGGTCCATGGCTCCTGTCATTCTTTCGGACACCCAAGGCCCAAGGCTGACTCGGACACCCATGGCCTTCTGCGCCGGTGCACACCATGCCTGCACTTCAAAAATTGGACCAGAGGCACCGCAGGTCAGAATTCAGATATTCAGATGCATCTAAAATGGTACAAATAACGATGTCTGCAGCTATGGCAAGCATCTTGTGTACACATCCTTGATGTGGGTTCCTAGCCTTGTCATCCATGAGGCCACATGATTAGATATGCCACCAATGAAAAGACGTACTTGTCAGGTGGTGAAGTTACCATTGACCAAGGTTGACCCCGGTGTCAGCCTCCAGCACGCCAACAAGGCTCCACAGATACCTCCGGCACGGGGTATCACTTGCATCCATTGCATCCATTGCCCAAGGATTCAAGCAGTGAAAGAAAAGAGATTTCAGCAACCAACTGGAGTTTCACAAACTACCCTCTGGTAAACTAACAGTTGGACACCGACCACTGCACGGCCGTGGCACGAAGTGGCTTTTTTTTGCGTTTTGAACGTTTTTGAAGGGTTGGGGTGGGGTGGGGCATGTTAACGTTCCTTGTAAGTGGCACACATGTTGGATGCTACGTTACTGAAGGGTTGGGGTGGGGTGGGGCATGTTAACGTTCCTTGTAAGTGGCACACATGTTGGATGCTACGTTACTGAAGGGTTGGGTGGGGTGGGGCATGTTAACGTTCCTTGTACGTTGCACACATGTTGGATGCTACGTTACTGAAGGGTTGGGGTGGGGTGGGGCATGTTAACGTTCCTTGTCATTTGCACACATGTTGGATGCTACGTTACTGAAGGGTTGGGGTGGGGTGGGGCATGTTAACGTTCCTTGTCATTTGCACACATGTTGGATGCTACGTTACTGAAGGGTTGGGGTGGGGTGGGGCATGTTAACGTTCCTTGTATTTGCACACATGTTGGATGCTACGTTACTGAAGGGTTGGGGTGGGGTGGGGCATGTTAACGTTCCTTGTCATTTGCACACATGTTGGATGCTACGTTACTGAAGGGTTGGGGTGGGGTGGGGCATGTTAACGTTCCTTGTAAGTGGCACACATGTTGGATGCTACGTTACTGAAGGGTTGGGGTGGGGTGGGGCATGTTAACGTTCCTTGTACGTTGCACACATGTTGGATGCTATGTAACTGAAGGGTTAGGGTGGGGTGGGGCATGTTAACGTTCCTTGTAAGTGGCACACATGTTGGATGCTACGTTACTGAAGGGTTGGTGTGGGGTGGGGCATGTTAACGTTCCTTGTAGAACTGTCGCGTGCGTTCGCCGAGCGTGGACGCAGCTGAAGGAAGAAACTGACGCTGCAGCTGCTGACGATCTATATGATCCTGGGGATGATAGTGATGATGCTGAAGATGAAGATGCTGATGATGATGATGATGATGATGATGATGATGATAATGATGATGGTGATGACGATGATGATGATGATGATGATTATGTTCATTATCATGATGAAAAAACAAGTCGTTTTCTGAAACGACGATGATGCATTTTCACATGCCGGATGTGAAAAATCATTGTTTCGCTATAGCGGCGTGCTTATTTTCTATTCACATCATGAGCATTTTTACCACGGCCGCGAAATGGTCGTTAACCTAACAGTTTGCTATTGAAAATGGCCATAGAAATACTTGATTTACCCATTAAAAATGGTGATTTTCCATAGTTATGTAAACGTTTACTAGAGGGTCAGAACTTGAGATTGGACCAACCAAACAAATGGGAATGTCACCAATGAACTCGGATTTCTTCCAATGACCATTTCACCGATCAAAACGGGAAGGAACTATAAAGAATCGGAGGAGACTTCACTCATCAGAGACGGTTTACACAAAGGGCTCGGGCGATCAACAGGCAATGGACAGTCTACTACCAGTAATTAGGAGTCAACAAATCAAAACTAGGCTTCAACCATATGATGTGGGGATGGATCAAAGGATCAAACTCCACTATCCAAGCAAAATGAGATGCTTGAAGACTTGAAGACCAAGAAATTTTTTGGCCATGTCGGACTGGCTCCCACATGTTGACCAACCACTTGCACCTGGGAGCATGATCCCAGTGACATACTCCTCACATGGCTATGGATCAAGGTTTTTTTCCACTAAGCCATTGAAAATCTGTAGAAATGCTACAAGATTGGGTACCAATGTACCAATGGGATACTCACCTGTAATCTGGTTGGCACCATCTCCTTGGTGGAGAATCACCGTCTTGCGATTGGTCAAATCTCCAGAAAGTACTGCCCAATGCGAATTCAGAATCTGACAGCTTCCCATCCCTAAAGCAATGTCAGCCCAAGGCTAATGACCCCTAAATCAAACCAACCAGTGGTCAAAATATGTCAAAATTGGGTACAGGTCAAAGTTGGATACACCTCAATACTTGGATGTTTTTTACACCAAATCAACCAAATAAAGAATAGCTTCGGAGTACTCCGAGCTTCACATTCCCCAGCTGCCGCCTGCCACATTCTGGCAGGAAGCCCCAGTTGCAGCGTAGACGCGCTGTGCGCGGCCAGCGCCGGGCCAAAGGGCAACCCTAGGAGCCTTGGGCAAAAGATTGGGGGTGTAGGATTTATGGTGGATTTATGGATGATTTATGGTGAGTTTATGATGGATTTATGGTGGATTTACGAGGGATTTATGGAGGATTTGTGGACCACAGGTGATCTTCT